TTTTGTTATAGCTATGCTGATTTGAAAATTAAATAGCCAATTATTTTCTCCCGTCCTGTAATATTACTCAGTAGACATGGTAACATTATTATGCGAGCGGCGAAATAGTCCTCAACAAACGTTTCTTATGTACTTACCGACATAAGCAGCCGAATGCCGCTTAGGTAGTCCAATACATAAAATATGCCGTCGCTTCGTTTGTGTTTAAGCTTTTAATGAAATCTTAAATCAGTTACTTTTTAGACATTACGGTGTGAAGACAAGTTCGTGATTTTTATTTTTTATTCTCGATTAGTTATTGATGACAGAAATGCATTTGCTAAGAAATTGCTTAATGATATTCGGTGTTGCGGAGAGAATTGCCGTCGATTTACCTTGAAACTACATTATTGGTTTTTTCGATGACAGGCAGTCTTTGACGCCATAAGTATTAAGAAGAAACGCCAAAAGACGGCAAGCAAGAATGCTGAAATAAATTTAGAACAGCTGCCAGTTGTGTTAAAAAGGAGTTGGTAGGATCGGCCCGCGATTGCGTCCGCGCCCTATACGCGTCGTCCTCTAAACCCTTGACCTTGGTGTGTTTTAAGTTAGTGACAATGACTATCCCAAGTGCTGAAGTGCTATAACAGTGAAAGAATATTATCGCGTAATGGAACCGACCGACACCGATAAGCACGAGTTTTCTTAGTAAACGCTGATCTCATTGGAATGTCTAGGTATAGGTTATTTATTTAAAATAAAGATTTTATTGTTTTAACTTTATAATTACATTGAACTTACTTAATTCGAAAATTATTTTTGTCATTATTATGTATTATGTATCCGCTATAACATGATAATGTATCTCACTGATGTTGTGTTGAATAAATTTATCGGCGTTGTAAGATTTGTGAAAAAAAAAAAAATACCTAAATAAAAAAAAAAAATACCTAAATACCTTCTAAAATGTTTGTACCTTCCACTGCAAGCAATTTAATGTTTAATTCAAAATCTCAATACTAAAAAATTATAAGTTACAGTGGACATTGTGAATATGTTTGACCAACTATAGGATTCTATTATTAATTCCATGTAAAAAATGTTTTTATGTAGGTATGACGCGGATATTTGCTTTGAAAAATAAACGTAGTAAAAATAGTGTCTGTGTTTTATTTCCTTATAATGAATACCTATCTTTAATCAAAAGAAAAGTCAATAACATATTAAGTAGGGCTCATGGACTACCAGTATAGCTATTTCGTGTCTATCTGTTGTGACAAAATCCGATAAATTCAAATAAATTTTGATGATAAGCACGTTGTTTCACAGCATTGCCAGGACCTGCAGCGCGATGCGGTCGTTGTCAAAGTTTGGTTGGCGAGGGGCGGGCGGAGGGGACCGATAAACTTGAGGAGCGGGAAGTGGGGTAATGACGTAACGAGGAGTGGAAGGAGAGGGGAATAAGTCGGGCGATCAGATGTATGCGTGTGTGAGTTCGGAGTGATAACACCGATGCGCGGTCAGTGACTTCTACAATCAGGGTTGTAACAGTTAATTAATTTTTTAATTTTTATCGTCAAAAAATGCTTAGATTCGTATTTTAAAATTATGCCATTTGATTCAAAGTCTGATATATATATACTAGCTGTTGCCCGCGACTACGTCCGCGTGGAATAGGATGAAAGCGAAAAATTCAGACAGATACAGACAGATATCTATACATATAATAAAAATGTTACTTGTGTTTGTCGGTACACGGAAGATATTTGAGAAAAACTATTATTAAAGATCCTCCTTTATCAACACAATAGAACCTAAAACAATGGTTGTTAAAATTTTTGTCCGTGTGTATGTGCGTTTGTGCCCGTAATCTCGGAAACGGCTTAACCGATTTGGGTGCAATTTTCACTTATGCATTGTAGTTCTTCACTTAACATTTAGTGTTAGTTTAATTCAAATCGGTTCATAAATAAAAATTTTATATCAACTTAAAAAAAAGTAATCGCTACAGCTGAATTAGATGAAACTGAAAATATATTATGAAATTATATTATGGTCTGTAAAATGATGATGATTGTTAGATTATATAAATTTAAAAACCAGCCAAATGCGAGTCGCAATCGTGAACGAAGAGTTCCATACCATAATCTATAAAAAAGGCAATAAAATTATGTCCGTTGTATGAGAGCCCCACTTAAAAAAAATATTCTGATTTACTTTATTTGTTGTTATAGCGTCAACAGTGAAAATTTTAACTGTCTAAATATCACAGTTTATGAGATACATGTATCAAACAGACGCTAGCAGTCTAGCTAGCATCAGTTTGTTTGAACTCACTAATCTCAGCAATTACCGGTCCTATTAGAAAAATTCTTGCACTGTTAGATAGCCAATTTATTGAGGAAGACTACTTTTTAAGTACGATATAAAATGTGGTACATACAGGCCGAACCGCGGGCGAAAAGCTAGTGTACAATAAAATATCACTTTAAATACCACATTCATAGTTTTGCCTTCTGGGAAACAATTACTATGGGTCACACAAATAATTGTCCAGTGTGAGAATCGAACCCACGCCGATGGCAATGCCTTGACAACTGGGCAATGGTTAGTACATGATATTATGGAGCCGACGAATAGTACCTACTTATCAGGCCCGCTTGATTTTTATAATTTTCATGGAATATCGCCTACGCAAAGAAACGAAAGGCGAAAGGCAAGCAACGCTACTAAAAGACCCCACTAATTTGCAGCCCCCTACATTTGGCCCGCCGAGTACGCGGCCTATAGAGAAATCCACTACTGTTCCTAACAACTAACCAAATCGCAAACCAAAATCAAGAATATCCCTATACCGAGCAAAACTAAAATCGTACCTATCGTATAAATCTCAATTGAAGAAATTCGCATTATTATTATTAAAATGCAAATGGTCGGTACTAGTCCCTTAATTAACTTGTGAAAATATGTATACAGCGCATTTTATGAAGAACAACGCCATCTAGTTTTTGCATGGGAACTAATTCCTTATCTTTTTACTTTGCTTTTTTTAGTGAACCAATTGCAATAAAACAAAGCTTTAATGTTGCACAGAATTATTTCTTGAATACTTACAAAAACACTGTATTTTCCAGTGGACAACAAGTGTGCAACTCTGGAAAACTATAAAATTTTAGGAATAAATCAAATCTACGTTTGTTGAGCCACTAGAAAAATAAAAAAATTAACTTACAACCTACCCTAAATAAAAAAAACTGTCAGATTGTATTTTCCAGTGGACAACAAGTGTGCAACTCTGGAAAACTATAAAATTTTAGGAATAAATCAAATCTACGTTTTTGAACATATTAACTTAAAAAAAACATTTAAAAAATAAAACTAACATGTAAAATTAATAAACTTACTTTCAATTTCAAATAGGCCTTCCCTAAGACGGCACAATTGATATCGGCGACAAAATGTTAAGATTTTTTTTAGTGTAGTTTTGTGATTGTAAGCAAATTCCTTACCTGTAAGTGAGTGATATACACACTAGGCCTCAGAGGCGGCTATGATTTTATCCTATCTGTTTGTCACATAGGAACAACACATGGCAAAATTTTCTCGCTTTTGCAGCCGAACTTAGATAAGTCGTCGAAACAGCTCCCCATCGCACCACCGTCTTTCTTGTGCCTTCTATCCAACGTACAACGGGCAACGCATCTATTCAACCTAGTCTTCAGCGATTTTTTTGTTCTTTTTTTTTTTTTTGGCAGGCTGTACCACTGTTGGCCTTAGAAGCCTTTACAGATCCGCTGGACTTAAGGTCCGGCGGATCTGCGCTCGGGCACCTGAACCTCGGTTACACGTTATGATGACTAAGCTCGAGGGCTCCCGAGGGAGCTTCGACTCGGGCCGTCAAGCTATTATTATCATTGCCGGTTTGAGAGGCCACCAAGCCCTTAGGCGGACGCTCCATGGAGTGACTAGGCCCCCGGGAGGGGACCTCGGCTTAGGCCGTCACTCAATACCCGTTTAGCATTCCGATTCGAGGGTGCACGCGAGAGCCGGACCTCGGCTCGACCGGTAGCTATAGTCTGACTGGAAGAATTTCTAAAGCTATCATTGCTACCACTTTGGAAAGCGTTGGCGCTGGGAGAAGAAGTGGCAGAAGAAACTCCAGCAATGCTTCTATCATTAACCTGCCAGGTACGTGGCGAAACCTAGTATACATTTTGTTTGATCCTGCCGATGGTGATAGTCGTCTCATCTTCAGGGGAATTGAGGACGTGTTGTGGTCTGCGTCACTTGCGCCGGAACGTACCTAGGAACTGCAGATGACGGCACCTACGACTAACGGATTGGGTTGCGCGGCGGCGAACTGGAAGTGGCGGCGTGACGACGACTTCACAAATTGAGCGATGGTTGGCAGCTCTAAATGTTCATGCAAGTCGATGTTGCGCATGAACCACGTAGCTCTGCGTATAAAATTCAATTGAATTCTGAATGACCTGAAGCCGGTGTATTTGCCTCGGAGCAATGTGCGCGAAGATCGGAAGCGCGTACGTCATAATAGGGCGAACTACTGCCTTATACAAAGTCACCTTGTTCCGAAGGGACATTTTTGAAGTTTTATTTATAAGATGATACAGGCGACTTAGTACAAAATCAAAAAATCAAAATCAAAATTATTTATTCATCGACATAAGAAACTTACGTATTTTTCCTTTCAGTCCCAGTTTTTAATTCTTGCTAGAATAATGAGTTCGTAAAAAACCTATGCTAACACTGAAAAGAGCAACAAGATATATATATTTTCTATGGAGAAGAGAAAAATAAATATCAATAGGATTAAGTAAATGGCAACATTGTCTATTTTCTATCAGTTGATTAATATTTGTTAACACTTACGCAAATCACAATTGTGTAAAATGTGTGACGCAAACGTCACTGTAGAAATATTAAGTTAAAAATTTTAATGATTATAAACTATATCTAGTTTATTTACAACCTGCATACATATATTTCTATACTATTTCAAAATGAATATCAATGAAGATAAAACGCAAAATGATATTTTAGAATTAAATGGCAATTTAAATCAAGAAACCACTCGGAAGACTTGGGTGAAATTTGATGATGAATCTTCACAGACCAATGAAGAAATATCAAAAACTTCATCACCAAGTACATCTGTTATTACACAAAATCAAGTACCTGCAGTTTTAAATACCGAAACAGTGCATGTTAATTTAGAACGAGGAGACAGAAATCTCGAAACTCCTCAAGCAGCAGCTAATAAAAACATTGAATTCGTTAACATACGTTCAGGTTTTTGTAAGTAAATATCATATCATATTATTTATTTTATTTTGCAATAAATCAACTATTTCAAGATACGTTTATCTAAAATAAATCTAAATAAATTTTTAATTTATTTTTTTGTGAGATTGTGTTATGTTTTTGTTGTTGAAGATAATAATTTGATTGCAAAATTGATTTGACTTATTTTTAATTTAATATTACTAGATGCTGCCCGCGACCTAGTCCGCATAGAACAGGCTGATGGCTTAACATTCAGCCAGAAAGACAGATATACAATAAAAATATGTATTTAAATTGTAGCCTATGTCTTATTCTGATGTATAAGCTATATTATTGTAAAGTTGCATTAAAATCTATTCAGTAGTTTTTGCGTGAAAGAGTAAGAAACATCCATCCATACATACAAACTTTCGAGTTTATAATATTTATTTATTACGGATTTATTAGAATTAAGATATGTATTTCTAATATTAAAAACCTATTTTGACAGCAAATGGAGATCTACTTGTGACAGTTTTACCAGTAAATGCTAATTGGCCTTGGATAACTGCAGCTCGGTTCAGACCTGAATTAGTTCCCGAGGAGCTTATGGCACAAGGTTTAACAGTATGTATAAGATGTGTTACAATAGTTATATCACTCTTGGTAGTAGATTCAACGATTATTATTTCATTTCATTTATATTTCTAAACAAATACTATTCTTTATTCTTAGAAGTATTGAACATTTCAAATATAATCACAATATTGCAATCATATTTAAAAGTCATTGTTAAATACAATTTTTTTATTTGTGATGGTTAAATTTGTATGAAAAAAAATACAGAAAAAAGAATGCCACTTTAGGATCTTTAAATACAGCAGTTTAACTAGTTTTCAATGAAGTGTCTATTGTTATGTTTCTTGCAGCTAACAGTTGAAGAATATGTCCATGCAATGGAATTGCTTGTCAATGATGCCCGTTTTACTCTATATAATATCTGTTATAAAAGAGTTCTTGTGTGCTGGATAACACTAGCCTTTCTAGTGTTGCTATCACTACTATTTTCAGGATTAACAGGCCTTACCTTATTTTCTCTTGGAGTATTATGGTTAATATTCAATGCGATGGCAATTTTCCTCTGTATGTGGATAAAACTGAGGTTGTCAAAAGGATTAGAACAATGCTTAGGGAGCGTAAATAAATTACTCAATAAGCATAAGTTGTTATTGGCTTTAGATGACAGAGGAAAGATTTCATGCCACAAAGTCAATTTATGCTTTATTTACTTTGATTCTGGGCCATGTATTGCACATATTCAACAATTTATAGAAAGTGAAGAAGGAAAGACAATCATGCAAGGTTGGGAACAACGTTTAGATGTGTCCGTTAATGATATTGTAATACAAGGCAGCCAGTCTACAAGGTTATCTCGAAAACAGGTATGATAAATAATTAAATATTAATAATTTTCATGTAATCAATTTAAAATTTAGTAATATTATTATACATTGTCAATTTTTTTAATTCAAATTAAGTTTAATAACATCAATAGAAATCATACAAATTTTTCTTTTTTTTCATTTCAAATATAAAACACTTTTATTTTTATATTATTTTTGAACTTGGCAATGTGACTTTAGGGTATAATTGTTTAAATTTTTATTCATACTTGATGAAAAAAAAGATAAATTACATATTGATCACATTCTATTATATACTTAATTTTATGCATGGTTCTTATTATTCCATTTATCATTTAAATAAAATTAATTGATCATAATAATTATGATAATGGCAAGCTTTTATTATTCAATGGTTTGTGACCTTGAAAACTAAGATTATTATGTGTGCAATGCCATATCCTTAACATTCTTTTAACAATAAGTAAATAAAATTTATGTTCTAACAAAATATTGATTAACCTTGGTTTTAAAGAATTCCTGATATCTTCTTTTTCTACTAAAAATATACTATTTGAAAGGCTAGCACATTTATTATTTATATATGTATGTTCTTATTTATAAAGAAATTTATGAATATGAAGACAATTGTAACATTACTTTAATTAGCAGTATTTTGACAATCAATAACTATAGTAAGTAAAATGCTTCTCTATTGAATAAAGATTTTAAGAATAAGAATTTTAATTGAAGTACACATTGTGTCAAGCATGACATAGAACATATAAACTGATTTTATGTTAAACAAATATGAATTTGCCAACAAATAACTAAGTTTTTAATTAAATTGCATAACTATTGACAAATGCATATTTAATACTATGTATTTGAATTCAATAAGAATTTTTTACACCTTCAACAAATAAATATGGGCTATTTTATTGATTAATATGATTGTCTTGTGACCATTATGAAATCTACAATGGGACCCCTTCAAACTTAATTACCTTATCTAAATATTATTAATGATCAAATTCTGGAAAATAAAATACATATTAATGTGTAATATAAATGAAAAGAAAGAAATATTTTATACAATTGTTACTATAATTTATTAACTTTAACTATTCAAGTATTCCTAATTGTCTATTGTTGTCACTAAATATCGTCATAATACTCTAAAAGTTTGCATATCACAGAATTGATGAATAGATAAAAAAATATCCGAACAAACTTTCATAACTTTCATGAACCAGTTGAAAATTTTATCACCAATTACAATAGTTAAAAAATACTTAATTTTTATTTTCCTTATAGTTCTCTAATTTTAATTTGAAATTAAATATTAATCATTTTGCATATTATGTCTGGACATAATTATGAGTAAAGTATAAGGTAAAATTAAATTCTATTTCCAAAATTAAAGTATTACACTATTCCTCAACCATTTTAGATATCCATGAGCAAAGCACACTGTTTGTTATGTAATGTTCATAAATATGCTTCGGTGTGCTAATAATCTGCCTTGATATCTACGTCCTTGACGACATTGCTGTGTTGCATACAAATACTTATCGTTTTGTTTAGAATGAACTCTAGCCTGTTTGTATTTTTGATGCAAGATCCCTAGTTTTTGCTTCAATTCTTCGGTATTTGAGCATCATTGATTTCAAAGCTTATTTTAAATTAACATATTTTTTCTTATATATCTTCTATACTATATTTATATATATATATGTATTAAATGATGAAATTATTTCAATTAAATACCGCACCCAATGATATTTTATACTCTAGATGAAAATAGAAATCACCAATCAAAAGTGTTCCTATTTCCAAACAGAGTGAAAGCGCTCATAGACACGTTTCTTTCGAATGGGTTTTAGAGGATAGCATAAAGAAAAAAGAGGACGGCAAGTGTTTGTCATTTTAGTTTAAATCTCGAAGGATCTGTGTTTCTCGTCTTCGAATTAAACTTATTTGCTGTATCTTTCTTTTTATTTGCAGTCTTAGGACGTCTTCGTCGCTTCACTCCTGGCGCATTAACAACATATCTGAAGTATAAAATATTATTGACCGCACTTTAAATTATGTTTACGAAAATATTGCTTAACCCCAACTCAGCTTACAGAGCAGATTTACTTAATTTTCAATTTTAACATTTAAGAAATTATAGTGCTATGCTCATACTTTCCAAAAATTAAGGAAGTATCTAGTCTACCACAAGTTAATAGGTACTCAAATTTGTTCTTTAACGCAATCTAACGGTTACTTTTAGCTAGACATTATAGCGTAGTGAATAAGTTCATACAATGGCGGTCTAACTCGGTGGCGCCGTTGCTAAACTATTGGCTTTGGCGTCGGGGGTCGTGGGTCGATTCCCATACGGGACAAGTATTTGTGACCCGTAGATAATTCTTCCGGGTCTGGATGTTTGTTCTCAAAGGAAGGTTGACGTCAGGCAGGCGGCTATTTGTAAAAAAAACTTAACCAAAAACCGCTTACAACATGATTCACATGTTGCGCCGACCCCACCAAGGAATAAGGGCCGGAAGATGGTGTAACATAAAAAGCTATGCTGCCACAACACAATGCACATATAGTACATATTTTAGAACATCTTGTAAACAAAACGACATCTTGAAAACTGAAACCTTTCCACCTTACCTTTTTTTTTATTGTGGTTGTAGATCATTCCCTTAACATTGTGTTGAAATGATTCTTGTTAGTTATTCTGAATTCCCGGAAAACTTTTTGACCCATACGTAGCCGAACAATTGAAAAGTTGAAAACTGTGTATCCATTAAAATTAAATACTTACCACCCAGAATTAAAATATTACAGCCATATTAATTATGCATGTAAAAAGGGTAGCAGAACAACATACACAACTTAACATCTCTTGTGTTTGACAAAAGGAAATTGCATGAGGAAATGCAAATTGCATACGGGAGAAAAAGAAAAAAGCGGAACGAAACAATAACAATTTCAACAGTAGTTGTAAGTAAAACCATTCCAATTATTCTGAAATATGACAAAAATAGAGAGACAGACCAGTAATAGTTTTATTAAACAGACAATAAGATCACCAGTTGTTCGTAAAGGTTGGGTCGATCCAAAAACATTTTCTTTCGCTTTGGAATATTTTGTTGTATAATACATATTGCCACTACTAGCAGAATACCATTATTTCTTGTTCTACCTATAGCGGCAGAATAGCATTATAACTTAATTAAAAACCATTAGTGTTAGTATATTCATTTATATAAAATGGCCACTGGTGGCAGACTAGACACTTCGTAAAATTTAAAATATTTATATATTTTATTACTACAAATATTAAATGCAGGATTTTAATTATTCATTAAGTACCTATATAACATTTTTTTTTCGTACTAAACATGCATGTTTTTTGTATTCAAAAGGCTTTCATGAATAATATCTTTATCCTAACCAGCCAGCGTATTATATTTAATGTAGTCATGGGTAAGCGAGGTGTATAAATGTACAGGATATGGCAGAGCAAGTGTACCTTCGGTACCTACAACGGTGGGGGAAAGACTTCTTGCGGCGTCGGCTGTACTGGACCTTAGATGAGGAAGGTGGAAATCCCGCGGCACCGCGACATTTACCGCTTGCGCTCTGCCCTTGTCAATATGTTGAAGAGATTTTACGGAATAAAGAACCAAAAGATACGCGCGCCTGTTGTCCTCCTTGTAACGACTGGCTTAAACGTCGCGGTATCGATTAATCCAATAGCTACTCCTTGGCAAGTCTTGTTTGAAATTAATCAGCAGCGATATACAGTTTATTAAATGTACTCTCTGGATATAACTTAGGATTTCTTCTCCACACAGGAGAGGGCCGCACTTCTATTTTTACGATACGCAGGGCGGTGGGGAGCGCATGCCGTCAAAAACAGGCTGAACCTTAGCAGCACCGTACCAGGACGTCACGGTGAAAAATATGTTTGTCCCTGCCAATTTATTGAAGAACATCTAAAAACTAAGCCCCCCGCTGGCATTGCTAAATTTTTCATGTTACCTTCTCAAAATAATCAGTTTTATTAATACATATGAATAATAGATAGGTATAAAAAGTCCGTCCCGGTAAATGCATACATATCGTAAATGCTGCCGAATTACATTCTTTGCAGATTATCCTTAACAGAAGAGATGAATGGTTATTTCTGTATGATGTATGTTGTCTCACGGCACGATATCTTATATTACACTATAGTAACAAGTTGTATATTATATCAACTATAAAATTTTTCTATATTAAAATTTGCCATGTAATCAGGCATGTACAGTGAAAACCTTTTTAAGATAATTTTTTTAATTTATAACCGGAATAAAAAAGATAACCCTTCTACTCAGGAGTTTTATGGTTAATTAAGCATTTTTATAAAAACGAACATTAATTAAAAGATTCATTTCGCATCTGTAATGTAATATTGGGTTATACTGACCGGCAGACATGTTTAATTTTCAAAAATACATTCTATTGAGTCGTTTAGGTTTGTATGGGGATCAGGTGGGCAGGAAATAGTGACCGACAAGTAGTGCTGGATTAACCACGTATCAAGAGTAGCAAATGCTACGGGCCCCGCGCCAAAGAGGGCCCACTCCTTTAAAGCCACTCATCTCTGCCTGAGCCTTAATTTTTTGAGTGAAACTTATTAAATAGGTAAGAGTATTCAATTGTTTTTTTACCAATTTATACTTACGAAACCGTAGCAGATCGAGGGCTTGATAGAATTTGCTACGGGCCTCGCGCTTACTTAATCCGGCACTGCCGTCAAGCCAACGGTATTGAATTGAATTTGGATCCACGTAACTGAATATGAGTAATCTTTTGTACAAGTTGTTTGCCAGTCTCTATATTGTTTCTAAAATTTCCACTCCGTAGATGTTTAATTAATATAATATGTTATATTTGACCAAATTTTGTGTTGATTTATCACGTTTATTGGTTCATTTATTTAATTTATACTCCAATATTTAGTTAATTTTTTTTTACAATTTTTAGTGTACAGTATTGATAACTATTTAAATTATTGTTCTTAAAACGATGCGATTTTTTTTTTCAAAGAATGAATCGTGAAACATCATTACATTGCGCACAAACTGTTAATGAGTCCCTTATACTAATTAACATGAATTTATTAAAGTTCACAATATTTCTTTTAACCATTAAACTTTAAATAATAATACTAGTCTTTAAGAAATTGAAGACTTTGTAAAGAAGCTTACATACATATATATATATAAAGATAGAAACAATTAGATAAAACTGTTTCATATAACAAAATGATGTATGAAATAAATATTGATAATTGTTGTAATATCTATAATTGTAAGCCAAAGCCGATTGTATATTAGTTTAAGAGATTTCTCATTTCGTGCTATAAGAGTGACGTGCATACTGATAAGCTCTTCTGTTAAATTTATTTAAATATACAGCAAATAGATAGCAAGATTCATACAATTAAAAGGCGTCTTGTATACTTTTATCATAATTACTATTAAAAACATTTAAGTTATGAATATATTACTATAGGAGAGTGCATAAAATTGAAATATTGTGTTTACACTAGTGGTAATGGTGTACGGTCCTTAGTTTTTTGCATGTCGTGTTCATATCCACATTTCGCTGAAAATGCAATCCTGAAAATCTAAGATTTTAAATTGTTTTAGTATTTTTATAATTATTGATACAGTTGGAATTGTTTCTAATCCTATTCTATTGTCATACTGTAGTGGCCTGTCAGCAAATGGGAAAAAAAAAATTCTATTATGTTGTACTCATTTTCGAAGTAGGCGGGTATGATCTAGGTTACCATATATGTTATACTAGATTTACTCCGCTGTAAAATTAATATATACAGATTGTTCTCTGAATAAAAAATCTTTCAACTGTAATATAGCAATGGACATAAATTTTCAAAATAAGTTGTGCCAAGATGATGTTACCGCCTCCAATTAATATATTTTTCGATTATCTGTACAAACAGGCTATGTGTTTTTGCTATGTATATACGGTGCGTTTTAAACTTACCAACAAATTGGATGTAAAATTAGAACTGTTTATAAGATTCACATCCAATCGTTGTATCTGTTATGTTGTGATTTATAAAGAAACATTCCGTCCTATATTAATCGAAGTACTTAATATTTTAGTCATAATTATATCTTTATACACGTTAATGTACCTATTTATTTACAAATATACACTACTCAAGGAAAGTTGTTGTTTTATATTTTATGTTTACCTGCATTAATTCCTTAGAGGGAATGAATCCTTTTGGAACAGACATGTCACATAAATACAAGATATGTAAATATGAAAAATTAAGTTTTGGTTGTTTTAAATAAAATTTATTAATAAATATAATCGTTTTGTTATGAAATACAGAGTAATGTTGTTAAATATAATTAATGAAATGTATCACAGACGAAAAACATGTATCTATATAATTGAATCACAATGGCTTATAAATGTATTTGTGGTTTAAATGTTACTTCGATAAAAAAAAATTTATAGAAATTGTAAATGAACTGAATGATAGTATTGAGCAATTAAAAATATTTGGTCGACATTTAAATGACTGTTAAGGCAAAAGTGCCTTCTCAATTGCTATCTTTACGAACTTTTTTCGGAGAACCTTTGGCAGTATCTCCAGATGGAAACAGACCGAAAAACGAGTTTCTTTGTTCCTTAACTTGGGATTCTTTATCAATGGTCATAATCAAATCCCTGTTGCGTTTTAAACTTCTTTCACTTAGATCGTCTCTGAGATCGATGGAGGAAGCAAGGGATTCTAGGGATGTAACTGTAGAATGTTCTTCTAAATTGTTGCGCACGGAAAGATCTAAGAAGCCATGACGTTCACAATCATGAATATTGTTTGATGTGGACGAAGTTCCAGAAGCCGGTATCTCCTCCAATGCAGCTAGTTTCATTAACTCGCGTTGCGACTCTCGCGCCTCCACCAAGAATATGCTCTCCTGTTAGCGCCATAATAACTTAACTCAAACAAAATATGGCAAATGCATAACATAGCGTAGATATAAATGTGAAATAGTGAGCATGTGAAACTAAAAAAACAAATTGGACCGAAAAGAGACTTAAGTGTACCTTAACTTCTTTAGTGGTATATTGATCGAGCTTGTCATAAATCACTGCGTGTAATCCCATCTCTTTAAGTTTCTTTATGGTATTTTTATCATTATTATCATCACCCCAACAAAATATGACCAATCCGGCGTCGGTGGCAAGTTTTACCTGAAATTTAAATTAAGAACAATATTTAAACAAACTAATAACATTAACACGGTCGTAAGATATCAAGTATACAAATAAGACTAAAGCATGTCTTACCCAATGATTAAATTAAAGGGTAAATTTGCTCAAAATAACTATTAAAACGTGTAGAAAAAGTACGAAAAGATTGTCGCCGCTGTGGGAATCGAACCCACGTCTTCGGCATTCGCGGCCTGACGCTCTAGCCACTGAGCTAAACGGCTGATAGCCACAGCGACGAAAATCTTAACGCCTTTTTTCTATATTGTTATTTAGCATTTGAAGCAATGCTTGGCGCATCTATTGTTATATCCTTTCTAGCATACAAACAATTTCGAATATCGTTTTACAACGATAATTCGAACGAGAGATGTCGCCATTGCTTTTTATAAATTTTAAAGTTTTTTATAGTGCTAATCTCTGCACTTAAGATAGAACATTAAAACGTGTAGAAAAAGTACGAAAAGATTCATCGCCGCTGTGGGAATCGAACCCAAGTCTTCGGCATTCGCGGCCTGACGCTCTAGCCACTGAGCTAAACGGCTGATAGCCACAGCGACGAAACGTACTTTTTCTACACGTTTTAATGTAATATGGAGGAATCGAAAAAACAAATCGTTATAATAAATTAATGGGAAGGTTTTATTTTCAGTGTTTGTTTTTTTTTTTCAAAAGAAATCGATTTACTGAAGTTATGGAGTAACGTATCTTTATAAATCAAATTGATATTTTTAATTAATTACCTATTCTATTGAGTACTATCTTTGTTATATATAATAATAAGATATCCTTTAGCAAAAGGCCGAAGATAGTAAAAAAAAATACTCAGTGCAATACATAAGTAAAACTTGTACTAAATCTGTAAAGACACGAAAGATTAGCAATAGTAGTAATTTTATTTATAAATTGTAAATTATCGGTTCAGGCTGTATTTATTTATTCGTATTTTATCTGTATGGAATCTCCCAACTTCAAAATCACCTCTTAGATAGCATATACAGCATGTCTTTCCCATCGCGACAATAAATGAACACACATATAGAGGATAACTTTTTAAAATTGTATTAAATATTAACATTCTTTAAACATCAATATTTTCAGTTATTAAATTTTCCAAAACAAAGAATTTTAGAACATACGTAAGGGGTATAAAACTGTAACGTTAAGTTCGTTTGTAAAGGTCACAAAGCATATGAATGGGTTGAATGAATTTAAAACAGACAAAACATACTGTTAGAAGGAGAGGCTTGTAATGCGACGCTGTGGCAACGAATGAAAAATTCTCGTAATGTATGAATCCGTCAGTTGTAGTTGTTTAGGATGTTACAAATTTTGTTTCTTTTTTACTTAATTACTTTGTTTGAAAAATTTTTTTTTTAATTATGAATTTTTTAACGTTAATATTTTTTTATGATTATTGGCAAGTAGCGTGAGACGTGTGTTCATTTATGGTCGCGATGGTAACGACACGCTGTATAATAAAATCCCACAGTCAATATTAAGTCTGCCACTTGATGAATTTAAACGAAAAGTTAAAAGTAAACTTATGGCTAAAGCATATTATACTATTGCTGAATATCTTGACGACGCCAATGTGTGGGGTTAATACTGTTGATACTCACGTAGGCTAAAACAAGACTATTATACCTGTAACATTATATTGTCTTTTAAAAAAGCGCAACTGTTGAGTTTCTTGCCGGTTTCTTCTCAACAGAAACTGCTTTCCGAACCGGTGGTAACTTACGAACATATTAATTTCCTTGTAAAATTTCGACGTTTCATAAGAACGTGCAAGCGTCTATGTGAATAAAGATATTTTATTATTATTATAAGCGGGGATATTCATTTTTTTTCTGGTCTGGTTGGGTTTATACATAAAAAATAAACGTATATATAAATATTATGAATAAAAATAAACATATAGATATAAATATTGTATATATGTAGTGCATATATAAATAGGACCCAACCAGACGGAAGCCCTCGGCAGTGGGGACCAAACGGTTGAGGGTTAGGGTAAAAGGGAGAGAAACCGGCGGACGATGCGGGCGGTATCGAGGACCACCGCCTTTTGCATTTGAGCTTGGAGCGTTCCGTCCCGGTTCCGTCCCAGTCGCCTCAGATGTCCGGAGAGGCTAACTGGGATTAACCCATTCGCATACACGACTATCGGGATAATTTCAGTCGGCACACCACCCCACATGTCGGTCACCTCGTGAGCCAGGTCCAGATATTTCGTCTTCTTATCTGTTTCGGCTTTCACGAGGTTTTCGTCATATGGAATGGTAATGTCGACTAAAAATACCCGCGACTGTGCCCGTTCCATCAACACAATATCAGTTTGTTCGCGACTATCGTCCTGTCTGTGATGATGGACCGGTCCCAATAGAGCCTGGCGCGGTCATTTTCGAGCACGGCCTCCGGAGAAGACTTATAGTACGGCAGTTTCCGTTCCACGAGGCCGTATTTCAGAGCGAGCTCCTGGTGTAGGATTCTGGCTACTAGGTTGTGTCTATGCAGATACTCAGAGTTAGAAAGCATGGAACAACCGGAGATAACATGCCAAAGCGACTCCCCGGGATGGCGAAAAGCTCGCAGATGTCGACGGTGCCATCCCTTAGCCCAAACGAACCACTACTGCAAGACAAGATACAATTAGCACCCTCTGCATAGATCGGACACAAAATTAATAATACAAAAACTGACGGTAGCCCGGGTTAACTATGACAATCAGACGTCTAACACCTCAGTGTGTCCCGTAACCATGAACGCTGTAAAGGGTTCGAAACGTCGGGAATTAAAATTAAAAATAAACGCGATAAATCCGTAAAATTAGTTTCATTTACAACTAAAGACGTTCGTGTAAATTGACTCATCCGATCTCGCCAGTAAGTAGTTGCGGAGGCTGCACACCTCGCATGGTGAGATTGTGCATGGTGAGAGCGCTCAAAAAGCCCCTCTCGCCATGCTTCCGCGGCATGTACAGCCTCATCACTGACGATCTCGGATGATGCATTCTGTGGGACGTCATAGTTGTGCGGACTTTTCGGTCGGCGTTGAGTTCAGTTTGAGTCCACCGTAGTATGCCAAAGGTATACATGAGGACTGGCATGACTCAGCCGTCAAATGCGCGTGCCTTGTTCACGCCTGACAAATGGCTGTTAAACACCTTTGTCAGGCGTGCAAAAAACACGTCACGAACTGACTGTTTCATGCCAGCCTCATAGATACCCATGTTTTGTGATATACCCAGGTATCGGTACGTTTCAGCCTCAGAGAGGGTTCTTAAGTTAACGGGCATAGATAAATCTATGCCCTCCGTGTTAATGACCTTACCCCTTTCGACATGGAGAACCGCACACTTATCCGTCCCAAGCTTCATTTTGATATAATTGCTGAAATCACAAGTGACTTTAAGTAATTCCATCAAATGGGAGCGATTGGAGGCGAATAATTTGAGGTGGGTCACCTTTGTCCCTCCTCTCCGAAGCTGAAATCCTCCTCCTGAGGGTTCAGAGAGAGGCAAAACCATATTGGGCTCAAACAGTCACCCTGGAAAATACCCCGTCGTATCCTTATCCGGTATTCCGCAGCCGTCATCCGCTCGCCCAGATGACAAATGGGTCGTACTCCATTGCCCCATACAGTGCCCGAGGAACTCTCTTACTGTACAGTCTTATTATTATGGGGGGATATTCATTTGTTTTCTCGTCTGGTTGGGTTTATAAATAAAAAATAAACATATAGATATATATCGCATATATAAAATAAATATTATTATTATTACTATTATCATATTCTTAAGCCTTGTTTAGGATTTGTTCGACCGTTCGACGATTGGGGACCCTCAAACGTCTTCATGTTCCCTGAAGACGTTTGAGGGTCCCCAGGACCTGTTTATCCGCCACTGTTCATAGTAGACTTACGGCCGGGTTCAATATTCTATCTAGATAGATTACCAGCAACAGATTTTTGACATTAGCTCCTTAATACTTACTTCAAAATTCTATCTCCAGTAATCAAATCTATCTGAAGATCAATTCAAACCGGCCGTTAGCTACCGTTCTAAGCGTTCACATTATATTTATTTTATGATATTAACGGGCTCGTTTCTGAAATACCAACTAGTTTAAAGGCCAACAGTGCAAAGCTTCGAATCTCATTTCGTTGACCAACCCAGATGTGATTCGCAACGGTCATGCACCACGTGTTTTTTTTTATCCTTAAAGATTGGTGTTGCATGTCATCAGACTACTTGAGTTATACATGAGTAAAAGTTATTCTAAACGTCCCGCATAGTTCCTATACATGTTGTTTTAAATCTTAAGCCCACCCTAATAATACCTTGCGCGCTCACATTTCCTTAATTATTGCCGTGACATATTGTTTTATTGTTCAATAGTTGGACATAACACCGAATTCGATTTTTATAATCATTCTGTATTCTCATCAATATCCTTTATATCTGCTATAGGTTTATTACCCGTTAAATAATAATAAATAAACAAAAAATCTATAAACAACGTCAATAAATAGAATGACTGAAGTACAACAAAGTAATGCTAAAAATATACGTTCGAAATTAACTACTTTTTATCTTTTCGAGTGTGTATAGAACAAAGCAATAATAATAAAGTTATTTTTTAGCACTCCTCTGATAAGACACCTCGCACGTACTCTGGCCTTGCTATATTTAATACACGTGACTACCTAACTATTTATGTATCGAACTGTTGGCACCATTTACGTGCGACATATTTAATGGCTGGAGAATGTAAATGTAAAAAAATAAATCGTGTTTGTAAGATCTGAGACGTTTTACACAACACATTATCAACTTATCCTACAGTAGCGGTATTTTTTTCTTCCTTATATGTATTTGTTTGTATGTTTTTAATTTTATCTTGTTTGAAAAAAATTACAAAATATTTTCACTTCATTTCTAAAACAAGCACTGATTTTCGCTTATAACATTCGCAACAGATAATTAACACAGAAGTATATTTAAAAATTTAATATATCTTCTTTTTGCTATGCTGCACACCACAGTTGAATAAATATTAGTACCTGGAGGACCGGTTTGTTTTTTTTTTTTGGTAAATCATGTATTTTGGAAATAACATTTAGATACAAATTACTGAGTAATGAAATACGCATAATATTTTTCAATCTTATTGATGTAAAAATAAGAAAATATGAACTGGTGTTTTTCACAAAAGAAAGAACTTAAAAAAAGGGGAAAACATAACAAAATCATCTGGATCGACAAAAAATAAAAAATAAAGAAAGCAATAATCTGGAATCGAAAAAAAGTAAAAAAATAAGTGTGTAAATGATCGTGACACGAACCACGGCCTTCTGTTTTGAGGCCGCCCGAATTTTTTTTCGGTGAAATTAACCGTTGTATTCGAATGGTATTTTTCATTATGGGGTAATCACATAACCAAATTAGCTGGGCGTGTCAGGAGGCTTATATACTTCTTCAAAAAATTGCGGCAAGTCTCTAGCTTATAGCTCATGACAAAAACATACAAAGCTCTTTGTCATTGTATCATTGATTATTGTATTTGTTCTTGGGGAGGAGCTTCAAAAACTCACCTCATTGAAGCTGAACGTGCTCAGCGGGCTATACTTAAAGTAATTCTTGGACTGCCGTTCAAACATCCTAGGTTTATGCGAAGTCCAAAATTTTGAGTGTCAGAAAAACGTACATATTTGAATGCATTAAGTACTTCCATCGTAATGGCATTATTACAAATAAAAGAAGGAACATATGTAAATTACCAGTAGTAAAAAGTGCATTGGCAAGTAAACGGTTTAATTTTCTAGCACCTCGTTTATACAACATAATAAACGAAAAATACAACATACATAAATTAAATTTCTTCCAAATGAAACAAGCCACCAAGAAATGGTTAGAAGATCTAAACTATGATGAATGTGAAAACCTTATTAATAATTGAGGAATGAATATATTATTTATTTTCGCACACACACACACGCACACACACAAACACACGCATTTTTTTCATTTTTTTCCCTTTTCTCATAATTAGCTTTTTATTTTATGTTTATTGGCACAAAAGTGTATGTTAATTAGGGGATGGGATTGGCTCCTGAAATACAGGATATCCTAGTTCGGGAGTTAAGGCGCCATTAAATGTGTAACAAAGTGTTCAATAAATCACATTTATTATTATTCCCTGAAAACTGGGATAATACATTTTCTAAAAATGAAACCTAGCCAGATCGATTTTTCGCCCCCGAATCTACGCACATACTAAATTTCACGAAAATTGCTGGAGCCGTTTCCGAGTTTCCGAGTTTATATGTATGTTCATCTGATGGTAAGTGAATACCGCCCGCCCATGGACATCTGCTACACCCGAGGGTTGCAGATGCGTTGACAACCTTTTGAAAATTGGGCTCCGGCTACCTCACTCACCAGACGAAACGCGAAAGTATTTGCCATACTTCCACTTTACGCTGGTCTTCTTTGAGGTCGTGTTACTCACCCGGACGGGCCTCCCCGTTCGTGCAACAGCCAAGGCTGCTGCGTGGCCCTACCACCGTTAATATATATATACAAAAATTGCTCGTTTAAAGGCATTAGATTTTAACAGCATTTAATTTGAACTTATTTAAGGTGTTCTTAGGCACAAACTTATTATGTTCTTAATCGCAATTAGATTTGTGAATCACAACAATATAACGTGTGATACCTATACCTTGTGTCCTATGGCAAGCTTTTAACAAATATAAAAATAATTTTTCTGAACGAATCCGCTACTGCTAAGCTGCGGTAAGGCCACGGGCGCACGCCTATTCATCTAATACTCTAAAAATAGCTGGCCTGCGCTCGGCTTAAATAACATTACGAGTTCATTATCACACTACACGTAACGCAATAACTTTTGGAACTTATTAATAAAAAAATCACCTGGGTTGGATCTCTCAGCAAGTCTTCCGTATGAACCACGATGCCTAATATGTCCGAGCTTATCGCATTTTGCACGGCAGCAGGTATTGTTAAGCATCGAGGATCCCTATAAGGCTGATATTTATTGGTGATGCCCTAAAATTGTTAAAAATGCATTGTAAGAAGCAATTTTTGTAAGTAAAGTTGTTCGTAATTTTCACAATAAAGACTGATTAAATAAAAAGCTGTAATTTCTCAATCCCCCACATCAAATGAAGAAAGTAGAGGAAAAATCTTTTTATATTTCGCGAACAATCAGTTTACTTTTTTTATCGCGTACAGAAGCCTGCAACTCCTGCACCTGCAACTAACAAATGCAATGCAGCTGACAAATATATCTGGACCCCGGTACACGACTTGAGCAAAAAGCGTCATAGTCAGGGAAAAGGGTGCTGCATGCCCACTCGGGTGCAAACAATCGCATTACCTAGACTCCTAATTCAAGATGTTTGCTGGGTCCTGCACTCATGCTGTGAAACATGTTCTGTTCTGATACGTAGTTGTAAATTAAATCAAAATGTCTTTAATAAAAATAATTCACTTACAACAGTTAAGAACATCACTGGGTACTTGTTCTGCTTGTTCCGAACCATTGTGCAGATATCCGGGTTGAAGCAAGAAAACACAATTCGCCGCTCCCCTGCATGTTTCAAAACAACTTCCAACACCTATTGAATCATCAAATTGCTATAAAATATTTTTGAATCGAGTTATTTCATTATATTTATCGAATGTTGAGCATATTTTACATACTACCGAATGTGTTACAAATTACTAGGAATTAGGACTACTTCGAATATTAGTAATAGTTAGTTTTAACCAAATACGAATAATCAACCAAATTGTCCAATTCTTTATGCGTATGGTAAATATATTCATAGTTACGTGTTACATATTAAGTTACATGATTAAAAAAAAACCTGTGGCACTCGGGTATTGCCGAGTTAAGGCTATTGCATAGCATTTTTTATCAACTTATGCAATTATAATTATTTATTTATGCAGTATGTTTTTTTCTTTGATATTAATTCAAATTACACTTTTTGAGCATGGTGACCGATAAGAAAACAATTATTTTTCTTTTATTGAAGAAATGCGAAGTCAATATCATTTAAAATATTTTTATTATGTTACAATACATGTAGGTTATTCAGGAATTTTTATCATTGAAACTATAGGTTTATGGTAACTGAAATAAGAAACATAAGTTTGAGACTCGATATCCTCTAAATATCATATCATATGATAATATAATATTATAATATCCATCCGTGCGAGCTTCGTAAAGTCGTACCATATACAGCGTGTCGTTACCATTGCGACAATAAATGAACACACGTCTAACGCTACTTGCCAATAATCATAAAAAATATTAACGTTAAAAAAATCCATATTAAAAAAAATATATTTTTCAAACAAACTAATTAAGTAAAAAAGAAACAATATTTGTAACATCCTATGCAACTACAACTGACTGATTCACACATTCAGAGACTTTTTCATTCGTTGCCGCCACAGCGTCGCATTAAAAGCCTCTCCTTCTAACAGTATGTTTTTTCTATTTTAAATTCATTCAACTCATTCATATGCTTGGTGATCTTTACAAATGAACTTTACGTTACAGTTTTGTACGTAAGGGTGTTCTAAAATTCGTCGTTTTGGAAAATTTAATAACTCTGTAAATATTGATGTTTAAAGAAAGTAAATATTTAATACAATTTTAAAAAGTTATCCTCTATATGTGTTCATTTATTGTCGCGATTGTAAAGACACGCTGTATATATACACGTTAAGCGAACGCTCTGCCGAGCTACATGGTAGGGGTGTTAGGTTTTATTTTCGTTACGGAAATTCTTGGTTCGGTCGCTGAGCTCAAAGCTCGTGATAAAAGCCATACAGTAGTAGTATAGTTTGGCAAAAATCACGAAATATCACAAAGGTGGAGGGAGGGGCGAGGTAGTAGTGTTAATAAATAATATTACGTGTATTTATTTTTCGTCAAATGCGTTTCACCAAAAGTACGAATTAGTTGCGCGCCGCGCGCCTCTACAAAGCCCAGCTTGGCTTGCCAGTCAGTTATTTACTACTTGCTACTTTTACTAAATTGCTACTACTAAATTGGCCACTAAAAATGTTTAAATACTAAAAATACACGTGATTTTGGGTTTTAGTCTCAAACCAAAGGGAAGGAGGTGGTTAAAAAATGCAAAACAACATCACATGATTAATGGACGGTTCCTAAGTTATATAAATTTATCAGAGCAGATATGTGATTTCACAGCCTATAGTTATAATAATCTATATAAGATTGATCTATGTAATAAACAAGCAATTCGCCCGCGGCGTCGTCTGCTTTAGCTACTGTGTAAACAAGGCTTTTTACAAAAGAATGTGTTCTTTTAACAAAATAGCACAACGCACCTTGTCCACATAAACATTCATGTCAAAGGGATTGTTTAATTCAAAAGTTCCATCATTGAGCTCCATTGTCCATTTCAATTCAATATTGAACCCAACATGTAAATCAATGCTTTTGAGAGTATCTTCTAATGTGGGGAAAGGCTGATGCTCTTCTAAGTCTTCATCAAAAAATAAAATTTCATGATTACGACCTTCTACTAAATGGTAGACCTACAATAATTAAAAAAGAATATTACTCATAGTTACATATAGTATTTCTAGGACTAGAATGAAAACTGCTCACTCAATTCAACTCATATTAACATGTAGTTATAACCAACTGTGATTGACATGATATGCATTCTACCCTACATTACACAATTTTATACCTTAAGTTTCTGCAGATGCTCCAAAGTTAAATCCTTCACAGGCAATTCTAACATCTCTGTAAAATCAACTTCCTTTTTTCTTTTCATAGAAATACATACATGAAAGTCATGATATATAACTGGAATCATGTCTTTGCTTAGCTGAACATCAAATTCCAATAAATCTGCACCACTGGCTGCAGCTTTTTTTAGGGAAGCTATTGTATTTTCACGAATAGCATTTCCTCTGAAAATAGTCTTATTAAAAACATATTCATGCAGACACAGCAAAGATTTCTGCACCATGTGAAAACAGTTATTAAATATTTGTTTGAATTAATGTCTTCGTGAAATTGGTTCATTTTCTTTTTAATATTAAGAACTTTGAAAATAATCTTTGAATTGAGGTCAGCAGTGAATTTGTTATTTTATATTAGCTGAATGAATTATTATTATGTTTCAAAAAACATATTAAGTAATGTATATAATGGAATAGGTTTTCCATTCATAAAATATTTTAAGTTAATTTAATATTAAAAGTGCTTACTTACTCTTTAGTTTTAAAACTGGCACCCAAGCCGCGATGACCAACTTCTAAGCCTGTCCATGTGGGATCCCAATGTTTAGAATATGACACTTTAAAGTTACAGATGTTTTCTTTTAAAGGGTGGACAATTAAGTATTCAAAATTTACAGTACCCAGAGGTCTATGTTTAATATTACAAGTAACTGGTAATTCTAGAACACCCTCGGATGGTTTAAACATATTAGGTAAGACATATGTATAACCAACATGATATGGAGGATCCTCCATAGCTGCACGGCTACTATATGAATAAAAATCAATAAGATATGCTATAACCTTGTGGTTCGGAGAATAAACATTTACCAAAAGCACATCATTAAGTTTGTATTCTCTTCCAAATTGTTCTTGAGGTTGTAACTGACATATTGCATGATCATTGTCAAGTGTTGATACTTCAACATTTACACCTGTTGGAATTTCCACCTCCATAGTGTCGGTGCTCTGGGAATCCTCAAGTTGAGCTTCAGTCCCAAAAGATAAGTTAACTGGGGTAACTTTTATATTCATTATTCTATTTGAAAGGCGACTCTTTAATTTTAAAGGATTATTAATAAATTTGAATTGAACTAATGTCTGAGCTGTAAGCCATCCCCTATTTATTTTTTTTAATCCTCCATATTCACCGTATGTATCGGTTGTTGGTTGTTGCATACTTTCTTTGATCACTCTTGGGTGTATATTAGCCTCCCATTGACGAACAATTACATCTTTAGTATCTTCATTGACTAGACATACGCCATAACGGTAAAAGACATCGCAGGTGTTTGGTATGGTTAGATGTTTACTCCATAATTGGGTACCTTCCTGTGGGTCAAGCAGAACAATTTTCTTATGATCCCACTCACCAAGTTCTGAGGTACTTCCTGATATAAATACTTTTTCTTTTGGCCCCACATCCGGAACCAAAACAGTAAATAACCATTCTTGGCACGAGATAATACTACCCTGAGGCTTTGACTCAACTGACATTTTTTTGAAATCGTTAAATTTATTTTTTTTATGTTTCTTCTGCTTTTGCAAGAAAAACCACCGTTGCATTACACAAAATTGACGTCTACAGTAATAGAGAAAAATATGACAAGGGCAAAAAAATTTAAGTGACACAAAACATTTTTAAATGAACGCACATATTTCACGTTCAAACAGAGTGTAAGAAAATAGCTTGATTAATAATTTTTAATCATATCATATTATTTTATTGACTCTGACTGACTGACAGTCAGTTAGGGATGTGAAAAAAAATTACGATTTTAGTATTAATCGATTATTTTTTTCTTGTAATCGACCATTCCGATCATTAAGAAGATGATTCTGATTAATTCAAAGAGTTTTACCATCTTTTTGGCAACTCAAAGTTAGATAGTCTTAATCTTGTAAATATTAGATAAATAAATATTATTCAAAAAAATCCATCCTCGCTCCAAGTAAAATTTTTGGTTTTGAAATTCGAATCCGTAGGTCTCAAATATTTAGATATTATGTTATTAGGAATGCACGAACTATGCATTTATACTAACTAAAGGAGACCCCGAGTGATATACATATAATGTCCGTACGTCTGGGCAACAGTCGGCGAATTCGCACGATAACCGGCCAATCCTTTCACCACGATGACAAATAAGAATCAGCCACATGATACTGCAGCGCTCAAGCCGGCTCGACTAACATTGAAGGATTCTCCGAGCACAAATTCGAAATGTTGTCAGAATTGTCGTACAATGCACTGCGATGTCCTCTGTGTGCAAGAAACCAACCGAGACGAAAGGCAAGCCCTTACACACGTAGTGGACTTACTGCAGGACTCACTCCCATCTCCGTGACTTACCACCCAAAATACGGTAGCGCAATATTTCTTATTCCCAGAATGAGTGTTAAATCGATAAAATGTACCTTATACCTCAATCACTCCGTAACATATATATACAAACCACCTGGTACACCTTTTAAACTCGTTCCTCTTGAGAGCCTAATAAATGACAGGCACAATAAAATTATAATCGGAGACTTTAACAGCCATAACCCACTTTGAGGCTATAAAGACCTGGATGAGTAGGGTTAAGCACTTGAGACATAGGCCGAAACGAACGACCTGGTTCTGGTTCTCGATCTTAAACAACCGGCATCCTAAAATAGTGGCAAATGGAAGCGAAGTTATAACCCAGATCTGGTGTTCGTTAGCTCCAACATACACTCCCAATGAATTAAGACACTGTCCGCACCGGTGCCTCGCAAACAGCACAGGCCCATCATTTGTGACATAATACCTGTTGTTCTGCCCTTACAAGTTCCCCGATTACCGAGCCTATTTAAATACGCGAAGGCCAAATGGGAGCAGTTTTCAAAGGAAATCGTCGACGCCCTCCTTAATGTTTCTCCAAGCCCGAAGAGATATGATGAATTTGTTGACATTGTGTGTCAAACATCACGCAAGAATATCCCAAGGGGTTGTCGGACATCTTATATACCCGGGCTGTGCAGCAAAAATCCTTTTTCGGAAGAAACATCAGTGGCTGGGGAAGAGCTTTTATCTAAGATCAGCGAAAATCGGCGGGGAAAGGTGGATCAACACTGTTGACAGCATTGACTTGACACACAACAGTAAAAAAATTGGAATACCATCCGCCAGCTAACCAATGAGCCACGTCGTCCTATAACACCCAGCAGTGTTATGCCATACATATAAACTTTTTGAATGGCTTCTAGTAACTCGCCTCACAAGCGTTATAGACCTGAAATTGATTCTAGAGCAGGCAAGTTTCAGACCCGCAAGACAATAAGTTTTTGGGAAGGCAAGAGTGGCAGGCACAGTGTTTGTGGACCTCTCGGCAGCCTACGACACTGCAAATATCGATATATCTATATTTTCTTTTCGATTTATCGAGGCTTATATTAATATTTTTTTATAAATATCGATACATCGATATTAAAGTATAGATGTCAACGATCAACTTCTCTAAGTTTCGATAATTTTTGTAACCAAAAAAAACAGTAGGATGAAACTCATTGGAAAAGGAGGGGAATATTATGACAAAAATGATAGGAAAAATAAATTACGCGCGATCTGAGTTCAGGAAGTGGGGAGGAGGAGTTTTTAAGGGTAAACACTGTTTATCTCGATTTCCGGCAAAATTACAAGGCCTATGGAAATAATTAAATGACAAAGTTATAGGTAATAAAAAGGTCTATAAATTTTGTGTTCACACTTTTTTCACATAAACTCAAAATTTATGAGAAAAATTAAAATAATCAAGTTTATGGTTTTTATTTTTATCTTTTACAAAAATGAGTCTATTAGATAAAAGTTACCTTTTTATGTCCCAAATGCACCATAATTTGTAAAAAATTTGAGAGTAAAAATCAATGTACTTTGTATGGGATTTCCGACTCTTATACGTAGTGGTTATATTCTCTTTGATAAAAATTCAATCAACTTCGACCAACTTCATGGCATTACCAAGGCAAACAATAAGCAATTTATGAAATTTACATAAAAATCCAAAATAAATAATAAGACCATTATCAAGGGATGATCACCGACAAGAGCCTTTTTTTCCGTGAGAAAAATGCTTTATGGCTCCTCTGCCATTGGTTCGGGGGAGTGGCACTGGCAAGTGTATGTGGGAGTCTCGGAAACGGGTACCCACTAAAACACCCACGTTGCACCTGTCTCTGTCGCTTCGGCCGGAGATACGGGATCACGTAGACGTAATCTTCCGCGACCCCGGCGCGACTTACGGCGCGTTCGCAAGGGGCGCGTTCCGAGGTCCATAAAAACATAGGGCTTCGGATTTATTGAGCGACACCTCTAGCCCTAGTTGCGGAATACGTCCCACCACCTGAACCACACCCGCAGTGGCAAACAAATAGTGGCCTGGAGAAAGTTTGTGCCACGGGCGGTCACAAGGGTGTTACTGGCCTAATAAATCACCTCGACAACCCTGAGGCAGGCACCACGTAGCACCCAGTCATAACCTATGATACGGCGTAGGTAGAGAGCACTCCATGGAACCGGAGCGCCTCCATAATGCAAGCCCAGGGCAGAGTATTAAGGCGTTGGCGATGTCATGACACGCCGCCAAGACGACTCTACCTTGGGAAACTGCTTCCTGCGCGAGAGACCTAACTTGAAACACCGCGTGGATGGTTGACCGACCCTTGCGGAACCCGAACTGCTTCTCTGCCAGATACGGACCAATGTTCTCCAAGTACTCGATGCAGTCAGCGACTAGGTACTCTTTCAAAGAGTTTTTCCACATCGGCACCGAGCCTAGCTCTTTAATTAAAGAAGAGAGAGCTTCTCTTACGTAAAGAAAAGCACTAAAATATACATAGTTTTAGGTAATGATATATAATAACTTATGAAGTAAATGTAATTAATAATAATCACACACAATATAAATTTGATTTATTATGTAATTTAAATACAAAAATCTTTAATACTATTATCGTATATTCGACAGCACTTAACAAATTTAATAATTACAATATACCTTTTATAATATGGTTATACTTCTGTTCCCCGATACAGAGAAGGAAATGCATATCATCGGCGTCCTTAAGCCTAATAAGCGCTGAGACATCGGTATATAAGTACTAACTGACCCGGCAAATGTTGTTTTGCCATATAAATTATTTGTAGGGTAGAAAAAAATGTTTGGGTTGGACCACCCTGAACATTTAGGGTGATGAAAAATAAATTTTGTCCGATTATTCACACTGGCCGATATGCACACAAAATTTCAGGAAAATCGGTCGAGCAGTTTCGGAAACACCAACACTAGAATTTTATATATTAGAATATATATACTAATGTCTCTGCGCTCAGTATGTAAGTGGATGTGATCTATGGACGTAACTCATTAGTATTGACACCTCAGTGCTTGGGAAACATTTACGATCGCTTCATCTAATCCGGTATTGCCAGGCCGTACAATCTTAGAACAAATTCGGTGAGAAATCCTATTAAATTAAAAATGTAACAGGACATTTTGATCATGTTGAAAGTTATCCCTTTTAGATATATAAAATATTATAACATATTTTTTCAGGTATATAAAAGTACTCTTTGGGCACTGCCAGCGTTTATGAGGGTCCACTACAGGGATTTTTATTTTTCTGTACGGATTCAAATCATAACGGTACTCTTGCGATAGATGGCATAAGGACCCATTTTAAACAATTTTTAGGTGTATAAATTTATTGGTAACGGTAAAATTACCTTAATTCAATTCAATATTCTGAATAATGCAGCATTTTAACATCGTGACGGAGAAATACAGTATTCGATAGTTGTAATTTGTGTAATCGGTAGTTTGGTTGGGAATTGTGAAAGCAGCAGCACTGCACGTACAGTGCATTTATATGACGGGCCACAGAATACTATATTTATTAATACTGAAAATAATAACGAATACTGCAAAAAGTACATTATAAATACGAGAGGTATCAGTGTCCCAATGAGACAGCGCCATCTCTTGATACTGTACCGAACTACTTTACTATAAATAATTTTTAACCATTTCCTAACCCGAAGTTGACAGAATTTTCCATTTCAGAGTATTCAACTATAGTTTTCTAAGATATATCCGAAGATTATGTAATTGATATTTGATAACATTGTATAGAAAACTATAATTGAATACAAGATCGCTGTACGTTATTTTTGGATAAATTTTTTACTATGCGACACTAATATTTTTTCATTATGTCTTTCCTCTGAATGGTTTCGATTCTGGTACCGTTTAGCAAATGATTAACGTAATGGCACCAGTTGAATATAAAAAATCTTGAACCTAACTTCGACAAAAAAATTCCACCAAGTATTTGCTGTGGTATGAGCTTGTCAAAAAGTTAAAAACAGTGACAATGTATATTATTGTTTTTACGGAATAGAGAAAATAGTGGAAGTGGTTCTCACAGTCCTTAGTCCCGGATCAGCTGTCATCATGTTTTCTCCATTCCGTGATTATTTTCACGTATAAAAAGTACGAAAAGGTTGTCGCCACTGTGGGAATCGAACCTAGGTCTTCGGCATTCGTGGCCTGACGCGTTAGCCACTAAGCTAAACGGCTGATTACCACACTGATAAAATCTTAACGTCTTTTATCTACATTGTTTTTTAGCATTTGAAGCAATGCTTGGCGCATTCATTGTTATATCCTTTCCAGCAAACAAACAATTTCGAATATAGTTTTACAACGATAATTTTTTTTTAAAACATTGCCCTCACTTTAGGATAACATTATCCTGTATTGTAAGGACGTTTAACAAACATAAATTTCATATGAACCAACACCCAGATGCGAAACAACTATCTGTGAGTCTCACAAATAGTTGTCCCCTGTGGGAATCGAACCCATGACCCCAGACGCCGAAGTTAGTACTTTGTCAACCACGAAGTCATCAAAAATTTCAACGAAAGATAATTATATTATTTTCATGTAATTTTTTATTTGTGGTAATTAATAAATAAAATTGTTTTGCATTTAAAATAACGTCATCTGTTATTAATTCTTGGAACTATACGGAATGTGCAAGCATCATTCAATTAATATCTAATGCCGTGGGATACCGTCTTGGGCTTTAGCCGTTTGTATAGGGTGCACGGAATTGCATTTCATTTTATGTAATCTTAGCAATAATCGATGTTTTTTTTAATAGTATGCATAAACTAAAGAAATCGCTATAAAGAACAAGTTTGTACAAACAAGAAATTGGTGAAATTAAGGTGGTTTTCTATTTAGTTAACCGATATAGTAGTTGGATAAAGCTGGAGACTTGATCAAAACGCTTTCATACTTTATGCAGGGATCACTTTATTACGTGGTAATTCTGACGATTCAAGTTAAAATAATCTAAGAAAAATTACAAACATGACAAATTCCGACTCCTAGATCGTATGAATGCAATCTATAGTGAAAGTATCTCCTGCGCCAGTGTGGGTTCGATTCCTATTGCTGGAAAAATATTGATGATAGTAGGGGGGTTTCTCTAGTTTCTGAATATAATGTAATATGTATGTAGGCTTCTTACCCATTTCGCAGAAACGTTATTTCTTAAAAATATCGTACCAACGAGGGACGTAGTAGGATAGACAATAGATCTATACCAGACAAAATACAAAATTGAAATCACCTATTTAACTTTTTTAGAAATTGATATAAAATACTCTCAACTCTCAATCCTGGAAAATGTACTCTTTTTTCCAATAGGAAATTGCGGTTAACTCCAACGGTATTATTTTATTACAGCTTAAAGGAAAATGTTACATCGTATATTAAACACAAAATTATCATATTACAATAATTTGGGAAATTAAAGTCCATAAAAGATGTAATATTTTTACTTGCACCAATTTTGTATAAACTTACTCTTTACAATATTTACATATTTAACGAAGGATATTTACATTAGCAGTCTTTTTTGGACCAGGCCTTATTTTATTTTTACTTACTAAATTCAGCCTATCTTTGTACATATTTATTGCATTTTAAATTTAACTTAGGATTAATATCTAATAAGGACAATTTACACCTGGATGCAAAAAGGAACAGTTTTCTCCTTGTCGACATGATCCTTTTCTTTGGAAATATATACATACAACTTTCCTACTACCACGTGCGTGGCCCCCGCGTCCTCTCGGTGGCCCTTCCCAGTTTCCTCCACCTTTACCCCTCCAATGTCCTCCAGCGCCACGACCCCGCATGGCACCACGAAAACTACCCGGACCCGAAAAACTATCTGGTGCAGGAGGTCCTTGTGGTCCAGGCATATTAAAGTCCATGGGAAACATATTTTGTTGCATATTAAAGCCCTCAGGTGGTACAGAAAACATAGGATTTGGTGCGCCAAACATATCTGGGCCCATCATCATATTGTCCGGTGGTATCATCATTCCTGGTGGCATATTCCCGGGTGGCATCGGCCCAGGTGGAAGACCTGTTGTTGGCATTGGTCCAGGGATTCCGTTTGGCATAATATGTGGTGGAATTCCATTTTGCCAATCAGTAGGCACAACCGGAGATCCTTGAAATCCTGGAGGTACGCCAGGAAACTGGGTACCAGGAAAATTTGTAGGAAATTGAGCCATATTAGGCGGAAATATGGAAGGAACGTTCATGTTAGTATTAGAAGATGGTGGTGCATTACCCCTAGGTTCAGGCCATGGCATATTACGAAAATCACTTATATTGTCTTGATTGCCAGTAACATCATCTAATGGTATTATAGTCGGTTCTGAATAAGTATGAGTTTCAGGTTCAGGTTCAATTGGTGAATCAGGTATCATTGACTTGTGGAAGTACAGTGGCTGTAGTGTTCCTTTTTGTCGTATGGCTTGTATGTCTTTCTCTTTACTATTCTTACCGTATTCAACTTGAATTTGTCCATCTAAGTCGATGAGAATAAGAGGTTTCCAGCTTGTTCTTTCCTCCATTACATCATCGGTGCTTAAATTACGTGCTTTCTCGAATGCTTCTCTTTCATTTATCCTCTCTAAATATTTCATATCAGTAAAGGTTTTTGTTACATTTACGCGTTCTGTCTCATCAAGTTCAAAGTATTGAATTTCCTCTAATTCAGAATCTGGTTTCCATTTAATAGTTTTCTTGGGACCTTTCCGTTTGTGGTAGCATAAAACACCTTTCAAACCATTAATAGTTAAAGTATGAGGTTCCGAAATCTCCACTTTCTCTGGAGTTTCCCTCTCAGCTTCTTTATCATTCTCAGGCTCTTCGTTTTCAGTAATTTTCTCAGGCACAGTTTGTTTATCATCAGTTTCTAAAGTATCCTGATAAAATCTTGGCGGCACCGATTTGCTTTCACTATTGGGACTAGTAATGCTTGTGGGAGTATGAGGTGGAGATGCTTCATTTGGTGCATTTCCATCTCTTGATCCACTGGTTCGTCGCTTTCTTTTCTTTGGCTCTTTCTTATTTGTAGCAGAGGCGTTGAGTGCGTCCATGAACATATCACTTTCGAGTAGCATCATTGCTGCAACAAAAATATTTCTTTAACGACGAAAATTTTTACGAAATTTTTTAGTATATATATATATATATATATTTGTGACAAAACTAAAAGATTGTTAAATCTAAAATGTACATTCACGGGTTTAATGTATAATATTCTTGGCAGAGTTTGCATTCATTAAAATTCAAAATGTAGCTAAGAATAACTGTATAAATAAATTCTCTTAAATCTGAATTTATTCAAAATAGGAGTAGTCTTTAATTAATCCAGCAGTTAATGGTATTGAGAATGGAAATTTTGCATTGTCGTCTGGTCCTTTCGTCTTACATCATAACAAAGCATCACATCCGAGCATTGATAAACCGATATTATTAGGGACCTTTTTTCTGTTTTTAAGAGTTATATTTGTATGTCGGCAAATATAATTCTGAAATTTAAGTCTTCTATACATCCCTACTAATATTATAAATGTGAATGTAAGTTTGTTACGCTTTCACGCCAAAACTACTCATCCGATATGTATAAGTTTCATGAAATTTGTACACATATTCTTAGAGGTATTAAACAGGACATAGGATTCGTTTTCTTAAAAAAATATGTATTTTTTATAAATAAGGGTTTCAACGCGAGCGGGTAAGGTAGCTAGTAAAAAAATAAACACCAAATCGTGATTAAATAATATGAACAAGTCATTAGTTACTAGTTCAATAAAAATGTATTCTAATTTTGCTTATGTCTTGTACAAAAGTTATGGTTTGTTTCATGTAAAAAGTTTATAAACATTAAGAAAGAAATGATTATTACATATATATAATCCCCTATTTATATATGAAGAGTAAACGTAAAAATACATTGGAATGCTTGGCAAGGATCAAAATTACACCGGCAGATCGCTTACGCTAGTGATAATGACCCACTTACAACGAGCACTAAGGTAAGACGCGAAGATAAGACCCATGTGCAAGTTCTTGTTCAAAATTAAATGTTAACGACTTCAGTATTACTTTAAATTCCGTAATAGTTTTTCTAAATGCAACCTACAATTAATTAATATTTATGAAAAGACCAAATTGAAGTAACATCGAAAACGAATTAAAATTCTTTATTCTAAATTTAACCGAATTTATATTTAATTTGCTCTACCGATATAATTTAGTTAGAAAAATTTGTGCTAAGCTTAACAAGGAATCTTGCATTTGTAATTTTAAGCAATGTTCAAAGAATCCTCAGAATCTTTATGCAATTTTAATATTCTAAAACCGGTTAGAACGATAACGATTATCAAAGAAAAAAACACTAATTTTGTCACGAAAACAAAGTGCTTTCAATATCGGACTCAATCGAAATTGTTTACCGTTGGGGAAACCATGTTATCGTGCACCGGGCATGAAATCGAAGAATCTTATTAAGGCACCCAAATGGGATTTGAACCAAGACACCTTAAGTTGCAAGTCGGACATTCCAGTCACTGGGTTATAACTTTAATATTTTGGACACATATGTCTTATAATTTTACACCAAGGGCAACAGATGTACTATTTCGAGTAAAAGGCACGACTTATAAGAATCACGAGTTTACGTAATCGACTGCCTAAACAGGATGGTCAAGCAAAGCAAATGAAAACGGGTCATAATCTTACAATGAACATATAGAAAACGAAAACTGGTTGGCTTGCGGGCACTGAATGAGGGTTCCACGAAGCTCACGACCATTTATTTAAACTTCCGTTACGAAGCTGGTAATTTGCAAAATTATCTACAACGTAAATAAATGGGGGCTAGAAAAGCGTATATTTAGGCGTAGGTGGTTTCTTTTTTTACAAAAGAAAACAATATGCCGAATGGATTATCAAATTAATATATCAAAACAATTGCTTATTAACGTTAATGGTAATGTGAACAGAGAGTAGTTATACCAAATTTAATTAATGTACACTATAGTGAACCTAACATAAAATGGTTGCCTTAAAATATAAATAAAATTATAAAAAACGAGAAGCACTAAAAATTTACTTCAAACGAGCGATTTCGCGAGTTATTTGCGTTCTTTTTTTCGCCGTAACCACTTTTTTTACCTTACACTTACCCTATGAAGTTATTTGTTAGGCTTAAACATATATGCTTACAATATATCAAAATCAAGAATTTTTTTTCATTTCGATATTTATGGGTCTGCATAAATGATCCGTGAAAGAGCCGTACTCAGTCGTTTTTCATTACATTTATATCATCAGCAGTAATCACTAACTTACTATACGCTAAGTATCAGAGAGTACCAACTGCGAGTACACGCCCCCCCTAAAATTATTGAGATTGCTACCAATTTGAACTTCTGGCGAGTATTGCTTCATGGGTGTGGTGTTGAATCTGGGATTCGACTCTCAAATCAAGAGACGAATGACCTCCATTTTTGCCTTTATTACACAGAAGGAACCATGGCCTGTAATAAATTATTGGTTCTAATAATTAGAAATAAAATCATAGTTTGACGCTCCATTACTTAAGCTATAGCGCTTAAGTAATTCGGGTGAGGGTATTGGATTAAAATTGGTTCTCGAACATACCGCTTTCTACAATTTATACCTTTAATGACTCCCGTACCGACGTACCTTTACAATTATAATTACAATGTACATTTAATAATTACGATTATAATACCTAAACAATTATGTTTCAAAAATTTTTCACCTGTGCAAGCCACTTTTGCTACAGAGCAACTTTTTTATTAACTAAAGATCGTAGCAAAACTTATAATTCTTAAGAATTATGCTAATTTTACAGAATCTTTTAAAGATTTATTTGGACACTTAGACATTTGGATATGTTTTCTTGGATAACAGCAGTTATCCAAAAAACCATTACCCAGAAGAAATAAACAGATGAGACTATGTTCTAGCAAAAGCAGCAAGTTATGGGGTAAGCAAGGTCCAAGGCAATGGTCATTTTGCAAATATTTGTTCAGGTAACAGATTCGCGTTCCGTGCAGGGAAAAAAATAATAATTTAGGACAATGTGTACATTTATAGTATTTCATATTGCAAACATGTTTTTCATTACGAAACGGATTAGGACGGATGAATTTAAAATTAAGTGTAAATTTTCCTTTGAAATGTAACTGAAATACCACGAACAATTGTAGGTCATTTAATGTGTTGATTTCCATGTCTGCGTTTAGACAGATTGTAAGACCATATAATTAGTTTCACTTAAATTCCGTACATAGGCACACGAGTATTGTTTTTTTATTTAATCTAATCAAGCGTTTCTTCAGTTAAAAGATTTTAGCTTAGTGAGCGAAACATTTTCATAGAAAGACCAATATGATTAAGAACTATTTTATCTTACGAATACGACAAAAACTTGTTTTGACAAAATATAAGAACAACTCAATAACGGTAACGATTCTATTAATTTACAGATTTGTTGATGTAGCAAAATGAATATTACGCAAAGCACGATACAACACATACACGTGACTTCTTTATAGCTAAAAATGTTAGAGCTAGCGGTGCGTTTTCTCACTTTTGATCTCAATTTGTCTTAAAAACTGATTTTAACTAATATAAGGCCGTAATTCTATTTTCAATATACTTCAAATACCTTTGATTATTTAAGACGGTCCCATATTTATTTCATTTATATTGGACCTTGGAATCCGGAGAGAAGACGGATTAAAATCAAATAAAGTTAGTAAGCAAGATATTTGAAAACTGTTGTTTTTTTTGTTACTAAAATGTTAAAGAAGCGAGGCTATAAGAAAATGGCTTTCCAAGAAGCAGTCATGCATAAGTACTATGGGATTAGGCAAAAACATTGTCTCATATCGGTTTGATTATGAAAAAGCGTATGTTGCATTGTACTCTTATTTATAAATTCAATAATGAAACAACAAATTATAGAAAAGCTATAAATTTTAAAATGACATGATACGAAACTAAGTGAATAGTTAGTTACATCCAACTATCAATCCCCGTTTCAACTATCAATATTCAAGTTTAAAACTTATTTTAAATCTAAGAAGGCTATCTCACTAGGTTTACATAGAGGATTTCTATATATTATAAGAAAAAATGATTAACTATCTATTTTGTTAATTTATGTATGTAAGAAAATTACTTTTAAACTGATAACATTTTAAACTGATAAAATTACTTTTAAACTGATAACTGATACATGCGTAAAAAATATTCACCAGACGTTATACTAAGTATAATCTAGCGTTAAACTTGTTACCTATATAATTCGAAATGACGTACTGTTACGTCATTTCGAATTATATAGGTAACAAGTACCTAATAATAAACCAACCTAATAAAAGAATGAACAGAAACTCTTCATGCTTGAATATTTGCATATTGCATAAGAGTAAACAATTGAGTATTGCTAAATAGAAAATTTAAAGAAAGTTAAAGTTAAATTATTCGGCACGTACAGAATCAAAGGTTTGGTAGAAAATTCACGTAAATTCTTGAACCAGAATGTTCATACATTTCTGCAGTTTTATACTATACCATGAAACAGTTTGCGAAATTTTATTCGGTAAATTTACAACCAGCATTCGGCTGGTTGTGCATGAGACGCCGTGGAAGAATATCGAGCAGCAAGCTTTAGACAGGTATCAAAACAATTTCATAGCAAATCGATACAGAAATCAAGATAATGAGAATGTTCGGCACTAGCAACTAATGCCTACTACTAATTGACACACCTTACTCCTACATTTACAACTAATGATTTTAAGGCTATATCTGTCTACTATGTCGTAATTTTTTTTGTTATTTGTATTGAGATAGAAGAACCTAATAGAGACTGTCTAAAACATTTTGGATGATAATTTAGTATTTGATTCTATAAGTGACTCGATCGTTAACAAAATGAAGCAGATTTCGGTCAGTTTGTTACTGCGTCTACTACAAGTATAGCGTTGAAATTTTTAAAAACCCAATAAAGCACAACCAAATCTTCAGGTTATTCTTTCTCATCGGGTGTATAATAAAACTTGTTGAAACTTCGATTATCAATAAGTGTTAATGCATTGAAGTTACTTTTAATTAATATCTATTCAGTGTTGCAAACCATAAATATTTTAGAATAATTATATTAAATAGGAAAAAAATTGTGCGTAAATACATTTTCAACAAAAGAGGGGTCTTAAAATGCAGTCAGCATATAGAAATTAAAAAGTCGAGAGGTGATTGTGTCGACCATAGAAATTACATTTGACTTGGTCCTTAATGAAACTTTTTATAAAGAATTCAATTGGTAAAATATTATAATTCAGAAAAAGGAAAATAAATGTGTTACAATAAAACTCCTTGTTTTATATAAGCGAATAAGCACAAAAATGAAGTAGTTTTAACTTGTTTGCGCTGATAAGGTTTAGTTAAAAAAATTGTAACTTTTTTGTAATAGGAACGTTTAGAATATTTGGAAAGGGGTAATCAGTGCGCACTGATCCGAATACATTAAAGTGTATAGGTACTTTGATTCTGTACACATTTTGCGTGATCTAGTAATTTACTATTAAAATTTTATGCTTTTGTTTAACGATAAGTGTTTTGATATTTGCATAGCTTCGATATTCTTAAAAACGTCTCGTATATAACTTTATGAGGAAATTGTTTTTCTAAAGCTTGAGAACCCCATTATTTATTAGATGTCGTAAAGACGTTATACATAATATATACAAAACGACACGCAATTATAATGTAACCTTTTAACTTCACCTTAGTTTTATTGTGAACATTTTATACGGTTTTTAAATAATGCTGCATCTCCTTTGCAATTAATTCCCTACGTAATAAATGTAAGTTTATTGATTTTTTACTAAAATGTTCCTTATTACATAGTTAAACATGGACAAATACTTTCGTATTATAGCATCTTTTACCGAGACAAGTAAAGGATGCTTGGTGTGGTCTTGCAGTCTTTGATTTCTTTTAGGTCAAATCTAAAAGAAACTTCTGTGCCGAAATAGCATAATAAGTTTTTTATTGTATCTGACGCCAGCCATGAATGTTTTTTTTTTTCAGTTAAAAGAATTTCATTTAATCATGTGTCGTTGACAGTTAACCATGTATTTGATCCATTGGTTTTATACGATTACTTCATATTTTTATTATTATCCAACAGAAACAAATATTCATCTAGTCAAACAATATACTATGATCCTATTCTCTAACTATATTTTAATTTGTGAAATTTTATTATATTTGTGTTAGGTCTTTTACTTCCGATTCTCCATGGCACGGATTCTCGAAATATATGTCTCTGCAGTACCCGTAGTCCCGATCTGTTCGGCCGCACTTCCTTGGGTAGATCCAATGCCATGCGCCGATGTATCACCATTTTACTTCAGTCTGAACAGATTCAGGTCAATATTCAACGAAAGAATGTTATGAAATTCAGCATTTATTTGCAATAAATACTTTACAAGTGATAGAAACACTGTAATTCCCGTGAATTTATACATTTTAGACTTACCACTTTTACAATAGCAACCTAAATATATGTTATTTCTTGAAGACACTAACGGCCATTGCGGACCTTTGTTTCCTGTAAAAATAAAATATATTATTAAGATGTTCAAAAAGTAAATGTTAAGAATACACTTACGCTTTGGTTTAGGTGGAATTAATTTAATAGAACCGGGTTTCTCAATTATATCAGTCGTTTTCAACTTCTTTTCGGGCGGCGTTTCATTATGTACTGGTGACGGCCTTTTAGGTATCGGAATAGTAGGCGGTAAGACGGGTGGCGGTTTTTTGTTAAGCAAAGCGGCACGAGACGGCGGAGGTTTTACTTCTTCCTCTAGTCCGTGCTTTCTGAATTTGGAATTAAATGTTTTAACTGTTTTTGGTTTTGGTTCATCGGGTTTTCGGATTTCTATTGAAATCGATGGTTTCTCTCTTTTAACATCACTCAGTTTTGGTATTTTCCCCAACTTTTGAATGGAGGGAGTTGTTAACTTTTCTTCAGACTTGTCTGTCGAAGGCTTAGGGGATTCTTTGCCTTTTTCATCTTTATCCTTGCTTCTCTCTTTCTCAGAGCCATGTTTTGATTTATCTTCTTTAGATTTGCTACCAGAGGAACTTGACCTTTTACTACTACTGCTACTACTTGTGTCGTGTTTTGATTTAGAACTGTGAGTTGAATGCTTTTCTTTATTTTTCGTTCTGTCCTTATTACTATGTTTACTAGAACTACTATTATGACTATTTTTATGTTTCTCATTTGATGAGGATCCTTTACTTGAATGCTTGGAAGAAGTAGACCTTGAACTATTACTGCTGCCGTCATTATGTTTTTCTCTGCTTTTATTCTTATGCCTATCTTTTGTTTTTTCTTTTTCAAAAACTTCATCTGAAGTTCTACTATCATTGTCGTCGACTTGTGATAGTATTTGTTTTCCATTTTTTAACGATATTTTTAATACAGGCAGAGTCTCAGTTTCTTTTTCATCATCTTTGACCTTTCCATTGTTTTGTATTTCTACTTGATTAGGCAATTGTTCGGATGACACTTTTTCAGGTTTTGCAGCATGATCTTCAAGCGATTCATTGTCGCTTTTATCTATTTTTTCAGTCACGATTTCATCCTTAGCTTCACACTCCTTTTCTATTTGTGTATCTGTTATTATATTTGATATTTCTGATAACTGTATAGGCACAACTTGTTCACCTTTGACAGTCTTTAGCCATTGTTCAACTAGTTTCGAAGCTAACGCCCTGATAGCTAAAATAATATACACAATTAAGTTCGTAAAAACATGGAGCAAAAAGTAACTATAAAAATATTTTTTTAAAGATGGATTTAAAAAATATTAAGGAGCAACAAAAAATTTGGTATTGCACATATTAAGAATAGGGAATGCAATCTCGTTCTCATTTTCGCGAGATATCGGCTTTTTAGAGAGATCTTATCTGGCCACTAAAATAAGAAGCCGTTAAGCAGACGATTCTTTGGACATTTTGTGCGTCTTAAGGAGCTACTTTCAAAATAATTCGTAATTATGGCGTGGGATGTACCTGAACAAGCCTTCCATTTGATTAGCATATTTTGAACATTAAAATGTATCTTTTGAATATCATGTAAATGGTATATTTTGTTAATTAATCTCTAATGTCTAATAGATCTCCGAGTAGGTATAGTTTTCTTTAATTAATAATAATCTTGGTATAATAGTCAACTCAACGTAGTTACTAAGTTTGTGACTACTTGTAGTTTTACTATTAAAAAACTTATGTTTGATATTAGAAGAGAAGACAATCATTTCATTTCTCATTTGGGTATAGATGTCAAAGCATGCTACTTAAAATTTTATTAAAACTGATGAACACGTCAAACAATGTTAAATACATAAGTTTCTTCAAAAATAATCTTAAAAATAAATGTTTATTTTATAATACTCATAACTCTTATTATTTTTTCCCAATTTACTCAAATATTGTGATTATTTGCAAAAATAAACCCACAAAACTGTCAATATCGCGGGATTTGGCCTGAGCCGCAATCTCGAGAGATGACATTCCCTAGTTATAAATATACAAATATAAAAAAAAACTTACCATAATGATTACCATCCTTTGACAATTCTTTTACTAGTTTAGGACAGTTGTTAGTTTTGAGTCTTTCTATGTCAACAGGGCATAATAATAAAAGCTCCAAAAGTTCTCTAACAAGAGGCCAATTTTTGACTACAACACTTTCTGTGAGCCATATGTGCACTAAGCGCCAACCACCAGATCCCATGAATAAGCCCAGTAAGTCAGTTTCTGTGCACTTCAAAATCTGTATGTATATACATTTAGAGACGAGTTTCTTAGAAAATTTAGTCATCAAACTGGAAAAAATAAGATATGCATATATTTATGTAAGAAAACATAAAACACTATCACACATTAACTAAAAAGCTTAGTTTACATTTTACAAAAAAAATATTTTAAAAGTTGATTTACAATACGGAGTTTATACGATATTAAAAACTTTTCTGAAATTGTTTATAAACATAAAAATGTAAATTATATAGAAATACATACCTGGCTAGTCTCTGAACCTCGTCTCTGCTTTTAATACCACCATTAGGCGACAGAAGGACGCTAAGGCAATTCAGCAGTTGCATTGGACATATGCGTGGCTGCAGCAAAGAGACGTTCAAAGTTTAAAAAAAATAAGAGAGAGATCAACATTTTTTTTTTTTGAGAATATGCAGTATTTACTACACATGTAACACATGAATCCAAAAGCCACCACTAGACCATTATATTAAAAACAAAGAAAAATTACGCATATAGGAATTATGCTAAATACAACATTTAGAAAAGATTATATTAGCAATCTTTTAATGTTACAATTTTAGGTGTAATAAGATAAATCGAAACGCCAAGTCAATAGCATAAATAAATAATTATTCTTGTCTTGTATTAACTGATTTTTGTGCTTTAAGTCCCGGGACTATTAAAGCTTCATCTGACGCAGAACCCGTGGGCTAGCCAGAAGGGCCCAAACCCGTGGGGGTTTGGGCCCTCCGCTGAGGCTAGGGCCACGCATGTGCTCGTGCGTGCGTTTAACTATGGCATGTCATCTAAAGGCTATCGAGGTTGCGGAGTGGATCGAGACCCCGATGGTGGTGTGTTTTTACTTGTTGTATCGGTGGCTGGGGGCGGTGAGCACCGCCCTGGAACACAGATGTACTTGTGTACGCGTTGTGTTGGTCTAGCCGTGCTCGGAGGCGAGGGCGAACTAATGTGTTTGTTGCTACACTATCTGTGTGTCCATCCGGCGGGACCCCCGACGGTGAATTATTGTGCCCCAGTCAAGTATACCGAAAGGTTATGAAGAATCAGTGGCAGAAGAATCCTAAGCTATAGGTTTCACCGCCGGGTGTCGTGGGTTCGATTCCTATTCGGGACAACTATTTGTTGTTGGGTATCTACGGATAAATGTTGCGGATTGGATTTTTGTTCGCAAGGAGGGTGGTTGACGCCAGGCAGCCGGTCGGTCGTGAAAAAGAATGTCGCCAAAACCAAATGATTCACATATTGTCAACCCAACCTATGGTAGAAATGACAACAAGTCTCGTTTTACAAGCTTAAAGAAAAATTTATGGATACAGAATTTAAAAGTTAAAATCCATGAAAACCACTAGGTTACGAAAAAAAATTAATAAAAATTTTGGCGGATCGTTCTCATGAAATTAAAAAAAAAAAAAAAAAATCGAACTATCGCTGAAGTAAGAGTATTGGAGTACATGTTGGCAATACTGTGTTCATGTTTTTGGAGTCAAATTAATAAAATGGCGGCATTTATTAATGAAAATATTCACTCATTCAATCTTTCAAAATAACAAATTTTAATTATTTTTTAAAGTAAGCGTAAACTTATATATTTCATTACTATAATTTCTCTATCGTAAAATTTTTTTTCAACTTTGAAAACGAGACGTAATGAAAATTTTAACCCTTCAGGCTGGTTCCCAACAGTACTTATGTTTAATACATAAGAAGTACTGTTAACTGTATCATGTACAGTATAGGTACAGGAATTTCCCGCACAACAACAAACTAAATAACAAGGTTCTACCCCAGAAGATTTAGTTTTCCAATAGAACAAGATGATTAATTAAAAGTAAAAAGAGTAATAGATATAATTAATATATTACTAGATCTAAGTAAAGATTATTTTAATGCGTAAATATTGTACTAATCATTGTATGTTCATTGTCTCAGAAGGTGTACCAATAATAGCAAAAGCTAATAATTTATTTCAAAATAGGTAACGATAAAACTTTCAAACAAAGCCAATAAAAACCAAGATCACGAAAATAAGAAAATTCACGTAACGATTAACCTTCTGAAAGCCCAAATGCTTTTATATAATTTTCTATCTAGGTAGGTATTTAAATACTAAGATGGCATCGAATGACTATTGGCAAGATGGCGGACAACGCGTGCTATGTTGATTATAGTACATACTTGAATGGTAGATGGTACGCACTGCACAAGATAAAAATAACGTGTATATATGCCCTGTTACCAGAAAATGATGCAAGAAAACAACATCGTATTATTATTCCATTTGTTCATAAAATTCTTGGAAATGTGAAATATATATAAAGACAATTGATAATGATCCGTATTCCGTATGTTAATTTCCGCTTTAGGACAAAATTGCGTTAGTTACTTTTCTTTGCAATGTAAATTACCAATATTAGGACAACCATGTCCACATTCAGTTATACTCATAAATCGTCATTTTTTCCCATTTACTATGTTTTTTACACATGCTATACGGTATCATCGTATAAAAGAGGGAATGCGAAACTCATTTATATAAATCAACAAATATAACTTACCATGATTAATATACTTCCGTGCTTTAAACATTAACAACGATGACGTGTAGCAGTCATGCGCCACGTTCTATTTTCGTGCAACAAAATGGCGTCGCATTTTAGAGTTTAAGTGTATACCAGTAAATAATGTATACACGATATTAAATCACATAATACGCAGTATTGTAGGTTCATTGGTTAAAAATCCTTCACAAAAATCAAAGTCTAATATCACATTTGTGATTCCCTTTTTGTTCAGAAATTCTTTTAACCTATTATTACTAGAACTATATAACGATTGCTCTCAGTAAAAGCATTACTACTATAATTAACATAATATAAATGGATTCAAATTTCACAAAGTTTTGCAATTATTGCTATTTTCTAGGCGGTGACAGTAATGGCGTAGCTATCCCGAAGTTATCGTTTCTAGCGACACAGCCAACAAGTAAGAAGATAGAATGAGGAATAAAAATAAAAAAGCGACGCCACGGAAACGGCGACTCGCCGGATGCAAATCCGATAGGAAAGAGTATTGAATGAAAAGTTGTTACGAGGTTACCTATTTCTAAAAATATTTTTCCATGAATAAAACGGTGACAACCTGAAAAATCAACTGTATTTAATTTTACGAAAGAAATTTGTTGGCCTAATTTTATATATTAATAATTTTATATATTCTTTCAACAAATTAATGTAAAACTGCAGATTAAAAATGTAAGTAAACTTTGTTTTATTATTCTATGAATATTTTTATATTTTAAAATGAAAATTCTAAAACAAACTTAAAAATGAACCAAGCTAATAAGATTATATAAATAATAGAAATGCTTTTTAGCGGCTACTAATATAACCGCTAAAAACTGCCGCTATTCATTCACTATTTTACCCTAAATAAAAGAACAAAATCCTACGTTGACAACCCTGACTTGGAAAGAACGAATGAAAACGAATCAAAAAACAAAGTTGAGTCATGGTTCGCTAACATTATGTACTTTTTTGTCTATACCTAATTTAACCTGTATTAAAATTAAATACCGTTATAGAAATTAATTCATAAAAAAAAATATATGCATAATAAACTTTAAGTAATCTAAATGGTGTGTGGTTTTTTTGAAAAGGTACTCAAAGGTTATTTTTTACCCATTTAACAATGATTTAATATAAAAATAAAACTAGTTAAAACCTATTTATGGATTTTTTGTCTTTAATTATTATGGTTTTATTTGTTTTAAACAGTCCCAGAATAAATATGACACTAGAATGTAAAACATATTTTTTTTGTTTTGTGTAGTTTGATTTGTTGTTGTTTCTGTCCTAAATGGCTTTTCTTAAAAGAATTCTGCCAACATCATGTCAGTAGAAATTTAGTGTGTTAAAAAGTTGTTTGAAATATTAGATCAATAAAGATTGTCTTTTATCTTTAAAATCACACGTTTGCTGTTAACCCAGCGAATATAATTTGACAATGACAATTGATACTTGGCATATTGATGATTGGTTTGCATTCTTGGCACCATAGATAAGATATATATACTGATGCTTGGCACCATGCCGCGTGGACTAGGTTCAATTGATATGTAATTTTAGATAGATTTAATCTTGTAAAAAAAATAATGACACTTGACAGATTGTACATATTTATGCATATGCGTATGCGTTAGCATATCTAGCAAATCTGTGTTTTTATGACAGATCAGTCACTTCAAAGTTAACAGATTTGCTTGCTTCATGCTTGTTAAAATAATTAAAAGTTCATGTAATTTGTATCGTACATTGTATCTTAAGACTAAGGTTATAGCATAGTAAATAAAAAAGTTAAAATGTGGGGTGATTCTTTGCTTATTGTATTTATATCAATATGCACGGCTTTTCTCGGTGAAGGTATTTATTGCAAAGAGATATGATGATTTTGTGTTAATATCTTTTCTTGTTTTTACAACCCCAATTTTTATTTTAGGCTTAACGTGGGTTCTTGTATATAGGACCGAAAAATACCAAAAACTTAAGGTTGAAGTTGAACGTCAAAGCAAAAAATGTAAGTTCCTGTACTCTTATAAAGAATAAGCCGATAATAATACATAATTTTGAACAAAAATAAAACAGACTTCAAACAAGGAACTAAAAGCATTGTCAGCACCTATAAAATTTGAGGATTGCCCTCGATTTCTCTACGCCATCATCAGATCTGGGTTCCTTATCATGGGATATCTTCTTTCCAACAAAAAATAATCATCAAAATCGGTTCATAAATGACGAAGTTATCGCGGAACCAAACACACATTAAAAAAGTATATATGGTCGAAATGAAGCTCCTTTTTTGAAGTCGATTAAAAATACTAAAGTCTATCAATCTTATACAAAATAAGTGATGAATTGCTGAAAAAAGTATGTTACCCAAATAATACTAAATTCACATTTGATACCAAACTTGTAGTAGAGAAGCGTAAAGAAGCTCATGGAGACTCTTTGGACAAACAACACAAGAAGAAAATAGAAAGAGAAGAAGAGAGGTTGAAAAATAATAACAGAGACCTTTCTTTGGTAAAAATGAAATCTATGTTTGCAATTGGCTTTGCTTTCACTGCCCTCCTAAGTATGTTTAATAGCATGTAAGTTATAATTCTTGTATCTATAGATTATAGCATTATAAATTAAATTTGAGAAGCAAATTTTGGTCTGTGGTAGGGCCAGGCAACAGTTCTTTGTTGAATTAATGGGTGGGTCCATGCAGGGCAGTACCACAATCTCCCAGAAGATTGGCGTGACCTGAAAGTGTTATACTTCTGCATTTTGTCTGGTGCGGGAGGTAGGCGGGGCCCACTTTATTATAAGATGGCTACACATCTGTAATCCTATCTCATATCCATGGGCAGCAGTTATCACTTACACATAAAAAAATGGTCTAATCTAGATTCTATTGTTTGGGCAAACAACTCAAATTCACTAGGGCCATGTATATTCCGCGCCAACTGCTTTTGGTGTAATGTAAAGTCCTATAAATTGACTACTGTGCCAATCTAAAGTGTACTTTAAATACTGTTGATTACTGTGCAATAAAATGCTCTAATCAAGATTTTTGCCAGACAATATATTTCGATCATATATTTATTGCTAAAAAGAGCTTTTCCATTACACTAAGACACCATATAATTTGAATTCATTTATAATCTAATTACACATTTATTTCTGATTATGTACATATGTATTTATTTATTAACTGTTGGTTATTATTTTAATGTAAAATTGATTCCCATTGAATTCCAGATTTGATGGCAGAGTTGTAGCCAAGTTGCCTTTCTATCCAATTTCTTGGATACAAGGTTTAAGTCATAGAAATCTACCTGGAGATAACTACACAGATTGCTCATTTATATTTCTGTACATACTATGTACTATGAGCATTAGGTAACTTTAAATATTAGGTCCTTACCTATGGAATTGCCGTTTTGTATTATACAAATTTAAGTATCCCCCCCCCCCCCCCCAACGACGTATCTTTATCAATGGAGTGGTAGTTTAATTTTGTACTGCCTCTCCAGAATTGAAATTTTTTCCTGCTAAAAATTTGTCCAAATGTTGAGTATGGCAGGTGAGGGAGAGTTTCCAACCACAACTCTTGCAGCTGGGAGACTATCTGTTGTGCAGTGCAGTTGGATGACTGATTGACCAAAGTTAATTGCAAAGTCTCCATCATTGTCTTCAGTTCTTCACAATACACGTCTGCAGTAATGCTCATGCCGTTTTGTAAAAAGCTGTGATGAAACACACTGACATCAACCACCAAACTTGACCATCACGTTTTTACGGAGGATTTTTTTTTAGGACACTTTTTTACGTTACTTTGGTGTTGAACCAGTATCTTTCGATTGTCAAACAGAATCCATGTTTTGTTGCACGTAAAAATTCGGTTCAAAATTCCTTCATTTCTGTGCCTGTTGAGCAACGCGAGGCAGGTCTCGGCGCGTAAGTTCGTTGGGCACACATTTATCGAGTTTTTTTACCTTGCCAATCTGTCGCAAATGGCCCACTATCGTTTTGATGCTAACTTAAAAAGCTGCTACTATTTCAACTGTAGATTGAGTATCATCAGGTACCACAATCGCCTTTATTTTATCATTGTCGACCAGTGTCCGGACGACTATGAGGTTCATTTTTCAAGTCAAAATTTCCAGAGCGGAATCTGCCAAACCAATAATGGGTTGTGCGTTTGTTTGTAAACTTCTATAAGTAAACGTTGATGTTACGTGCCGTTTGTGCCACACCGGAATTCATATTCTATCGTTACACGAAGTTTTAAAGTATCCATTATGACTAAAAATACAAAGCCAATCAACAAACAAAAAACTGACTTCGTAAAAAGAATTTCATGTAATTAAAACAAAATTAATTTGAATTTTGAATTCACAGCCAATCAAACCTTTTGTTTTTTTTTTTAAATGGCCAGTACTGAAGAACGGAAATTCCATAGGTAAAGACCTATTATATTTAATAGTTATACAATGTTGTGAATTTTTTATAAGCTCTATTTATTTTTTAGGCAAAATATTCAAAAGCTACTTGGATTTGCTCCATCAAGGGCGGCCTCTAAACAAGGTGGTGCCTTATTTGCAGCACCACCAGCTCAATTTAAATAGATGGGGACTAGCAAAGAAATATGAACTAAATTAGTTTAACTAAAAATTTGTTTTATATATTTTTGTTTCTAAAACCATTAGTAGGAATATGTAATCATATAAAACCGATATATTAACTGTTCAATTACTCATCAGTGTAATAAATAGTGATGTTCCGGATATCCGTCGGGTAAAAAGATCCGTATCCTTTACATTTTTGACGGATATTTTACCTTCTTAATTTTTAATACATTGATTCAATTCTATATGTAGTTCTAGTGATAAGTTAGTCAGAAAATACTATTAAATGTCAATCCAATATTTTGTTATTACTAAAATCCAAATATAATTATTTTTTGCAAAAATGTATCGTAGTGAGTTAACGTACCAATAGTACATAACTTAAAACAGTGCCGGATTAAGCAAGCGGCGGGGTCCGTAGCAAATTCTTTCAAAAAGTCCTTGATCTGCTATGGATGTTTAAGTATAAATTGTTAAAAAACAATTCAATACTCGTACTAACTTAATAAGTTTCACTCAAAAAATTACGCTCAGACAGAGATGAGTGGGTTTAAATATGCGGGGCACCCTTTCGTGCGGGGTCTGTAGCAATTGCTACTCTACTATATGGTTAATCCGGCACTAACTTAAAGGAACTAAATGAACTATCTAATAAATATTTAAACACTTACTATATTATTTATTTAAAACTTTATGCACAAAAAAAAACAGATCTTAGTACAAAGGCGGACTTAAAGCCAAACGCATTGTCTGCCAGTCAACCTAACGGGTAATCCAGAAGTTGAGGTAGGTGCACAAATAAAATAAACATAATGACCTACTAATAACATGTATAATAATAAATACAAAATACATACATGCATATATCATTGATACACACATATTTTACATACACACATACAGAAATGTGTAAATGGAATTTTATATAAAATACTAGCTGAACCGGCAAACGTTGTTTTGCCATATAAATTATTTGTAGGATAGAAAAAAATGTTTGGGGTGAACCGCCCTTAACATTTAGGGAGATGAAAAATAGATGTTGTCCGATTCTCCACCCTGGTCGATATGCACACAAAATTTCACGAAAATCGGTCGAGCCGTTTCGGAGGATTTCAATTATAAACACCGTAAGGTGATACGAGAATTTTGTATATTAGATTAAAACATCATTATAACCATCAATGGTGTTTAAATATTTGGAACATCTATTAGAGAAATTTATAAGGTCACTTTTATAGCAAAACTTAAATCTTTGGAACATTTTAAATGACTCTTAATAACTCTTAATAATCTTTTTCTGACATATGTATGACCAAATTAGTTTTGTATCTAATATTTTATTTTCAGATTGCTCATCATCATCATCGCTATCTGACATGTTAGCCTCTAGATAGACTCTTCTAGACTATGGCAATGTTCTTTTCTAACAATAATTGGTTTGTCCTCAGTAATTATTGTAGTTCCTGTGATTATTGTACCTCATTTTCCAAAGATGTACCTAATTTTTCTTTTATTTTTTGTATGAGAAAATCACTGAAGAATTTACTTTTGACCCTTAGTTCTAACGATTTGGCTACTTGAAACAATTTTTTTTAATCAAATTCCGATATACAAAAAAAAGATTGAATTGAGAATTGTAGATCCGCGGATCTACAATTTTCATGATACGGAACATCACTAGTAATAAATATCGAAATCTTCCAAGATGGGAAGATTCCATGTGATACAGATAGTTATAGAATGTTCATGTTTCCAATTTGAATAATATTTGATTGTTTTACTCACATGTTCTCAATCATATAATATATATATATATATATATATATATATATATATATATATATATATATATATATATATATTATATAGCTTTAAAAATTTGACTAACCACTCTGTCCACTTCACATGGAATGCCCCAGATTCATGTTGACAGACTTGTTTGGAAATAAAAAATAAAATCAATTACGAACTTTTTATTTTTAGTGTTGCTTATTAATAAACATTAAACTCCACCAGTGGTTCGTCTATAAGCAAGCGGTCAAATCCAAATCTTGTTAGATCAATACTGGTATAGTGACCATCAATCACTATTTCTGCTATTGCTCTTCCAATACCAGGGGCATGTTGACAACCTTAAAAAAAGGATTAATTGGTAAAATTTTACAAATTTTAGTGAAATACTATTCTTTAAATCAGAGATTATGTTCCTCATTTACTAATATCATCATCAGCCCGAAGATGGCAACTTTTCAACAACGGCTCTTAGAACGCCTACAACTCTTAAAATGTCGTTAGTTTTTATTCGTTTCAAGGGGTTCACTTTAATAAATGGCGGCAATGTATTTGCCCTACAAGTATTGCAAATGTGTGGCGGCGGTTATCAATCTTGTCACATAAAATAAAATATAACCTTATAATCAATCAAACCAAACAGATTTTGAAAAGAGTATAGTAATTATTAAAATTTATTTAAATTTTTCACTAAGTGGCCCACTCAGCAGTTTCTGCTGTTGCATGAATAGGCAGTCTCATCTGAGGAAGTCCCAAAGTCTCATAGTATTATATATTGGCCTTTCATCTGGGGGGAGGTCATTGGAGCCCCTTTTTTTTAAAGGATCTTAATGCATCTGCAAGCCTTCAGGGGATGTAGATGTCCATGGGCGTCGGCGTAATATCAGGTGAACAGCCTTCTAAAAAGCAGAAAACAGAAGTCATGCGACCTTAGTCAGATCATTAGTCCATCTCGTGGGTGGCCGTACCGCGCAGCGTTTTTCGACCCGCGGAAACTCCAGATACTTGCTGCCCCATTGGCCGTCAGTTCTGCGAGCTATAATGCCTGCCCAGTGCCACTTCAACTTGCAGATCGTAACTTTCGTTCGTCTGCGGATTTCCTCATTCCTGATTCGATCTCGCAGAGACACCCCGTGCATAGCCCCCTCTATTGTCCACTGAGCGCCGCCGAATCTCTTCAAGAGGGCCCATTGAGAATACGCCTCGGTGTCGTAAGTCATCACACAAAGACACTGTGTAGCTTGCCTAAAGCTGCCAAACCGAGATTGATTCGTCGCGTCGCTTCTTTCTCGAAATCGGACTTGCCTAGCTGAAGTAAATGTCCTAAATACTCATCAACAATTTCGAGGACTTAACTCCAGATGTTCCCCTGCTTAAAAAAGCTCTGAAGTAATTCCGTCTTATCCTGGCGCCTTGTTGCTCTTAAGTTGCTTGATGGCAAACCTAATCTCGTACAGACTGGTCACTTAACAGATGCCATTTATTTGTTAATTTTGACTGCGGTAGGATCATGCCAGCATTGCACAAATGGGCAGGTCCATCTGGGTAAGTACCACAACCTCACAGACGATTGGCGTAAAGTAGAAGTGTTACAACTTCTGCGTTTCTGGTGAGTGAGGTAGCCAGTGCCCATTTTATTTAAAAGTGATAACGTGTTTCAACCCTAATCTTTCGCACTAAAAAAAAATGAAATAAAAGTGTGTGAACAGCTATAAATGAATAGACTCTTAATTCAGTATACTTGCCTAGTTTCCCAAAACCAGCTGCTAGTATCATATTTGTATGATACGGGTGATAGCCCAGAATACCTGTACCATCATAGGTATTGCAATCATCGATTTCTGTTTTCAATTTTGAAATCTAAAACAAAACAAAATTTGAGAAATTAATTTTCAGTGACTGCAAGATAAAGCATCCAGCTGCATTATCCAGGAAATGCATGGTTGAATCCCGCTGCACCAAAAATTTTTGTTTATTTATCCATAAAATTCACATGTTAAGGTATTCACTAGTACGTAAACTTACCTGTGAAGTTGCGGATTCAAGAAAAGCAGAGTAATTTATCATGTTAATATTAGTATTTACTAGTATTACTAATATTAACATTTATAAATTAAGCCTTAAATTATTTTGAAAATATGTTAGCAACATTTATAGTTCTGCAAATACATTTAAGAGAATTATTTTTGTTATCAAAACAATTACCTGATTTTGTTTTATATTTTGGTACCTATTTAACAATGATGGCTCGATAATATCAGCATAATAGCCATCACTCAGCAATTCTTTTTCATTACTATTCAATAAAGGTGTAACTCCACATAAAAAGTTTCTATCAATACTATTTCTCCTTAACCATAACCCACTTGTGTCCATTAAACAAGGTGTGTGCAAATTAATTTTCACATCATCACTATCTCGAATTTTATATATATTGTACTCCCTGTGTATGAAATACATGTGTGAATTAAAACTAGTAGTAAAAATTAATACATTTGAATTTGAGGGGTTTACCTTCGTTCTACTGGTAATGGTAATTTTAATAGATCATCTCCCAGGCCTATTTGTGCTAGTTTTGCAATTTTACCTGAACTATCCCCTGCTGATAAGACACCTATAGCAAATTTAATTGTATGCTCTTCATTGTCATTTGTCTTAAATATAACCTGGTTGATTCTTTTAAAGTTGCCTGGACTTATTCCTTCCATTAACACATCTTGCTGCTGTTCCATTTCAAAACCAACAACTTTAGCATTAACAAATGTAACTCCAAGCTTTTTACATTCCATAACCAATCCTTTTAACAAAGCCCAGGGGTTAAATATTCCTTCTGATTCGGTACTAATACAACCTGAAAAATATGAAATCTTTTTTATAATAAAAATCTTTTTCACTCTGGTAGGCCATGTAACCGGCATTCTCTGTTGAGTTTCAGTGAATGGCATTGTCATGATCCACTGAGACTCCATTAGGACAAACATTATGTGCTTCTAGTACCTAATATTAATAATTTGAAATTGATTCTTATAACTATTTATTATTTATCTTATAATTCTTATAATTATAAGTCTTATAATTATTTCATTAAATTTAATAAATTTATCATTCAAATTTTTTTTTTAATAATGCCACATGATTAACATTTTATAAATGTAATAAAATAAGTACCAAAGAAATAATAGTATTTATTCTAAGTAATTTCTTATGTATTTTATATTAGATGATAAAAAAATTATTTTGTACAGTTTAAAATGTAGTTTACCCAATTTAATATCAACTGTGTTGATCCAAGGATATTTCTCCTGTATGTCATTTGTAGTTAATAATTCATTCTTTACGCCATACTCTTTTAGAATTGCAACATTTTGTTCCAAACGTTCAGCATATTTATCACTAGCTAGAATTAAATGCCCAATAGGACAAAATTGAATATCTACATCAGAATTTAAGTTATTTTTAACATTTCTAAGGAACTCTACTGAGTATTGGGATAAATTAATATTTTCTGGTAATGAAAAATGTTGATTTAGTATTCCTAAGGAAACATTATTTTGAATTCTTGCATACTGAAACATGTTAAAACATACATTTGTTAATTGAATTAAATGTGATAAATATTATTCATTTAAATATTTTTAGTTTTAAGTAAATAGACCTACTGTGAAGTCTTCTTCTAAAATTACTACAGATAAACCTTCTCCAGCTCTAGTCTTTAGCCAATATCCAACAGAAGCTCCAATGAAACCTCCGCCAATTATAACCACATCTGCATGTTCTGGGTAAATAATTCTATCCGTATTTTTGTTTATTATATCACTCGACATCATATGCCAAGTTCTGTCTAATGGATTCTTAAATTGAGAAGTATAGAAACGAGATTTAAATATAGCATTTTGTATAGGTCGGCATAATGTTTTAAAAACCAATATTTTGTGAATATATAAATGAGCCATGGTAGATTTATTCAAATATGATTTAAGATACTACACATTATCACTTATGGTTTTTTTTAACTATGTTTCATCATAAATTCATAAATAATGTAGATATTGTTAGGAATAGGTATTAAATTAACAGTAAAAAAGATTCCAAAAATGGAAACCAAAGAGAATATCACCCAAAGAGAATGTAATCACTACGATATCACCATTAAGGCATTCACCACTACTCACTGGCAGTGACGTAAGGGCAGTTGGTTTCTAGGAATTCACAAGCAAGTAAAAAAGACGTTTTGGTAAGTATTATTACACAGTAATTGTTAAAAGTTTTTAATATGGTATTAACATATTAATATGATGATATTATCTCACCATTTTATTTACACAAATTGTCATTAGCTAATTTTGTCGTATATTCTTAGTAAAAGTGTTTGTACCAATGTTTGTATTTTTAGAATAATCTTGAGCGTAAATAATTAATTGAAGCAAATTTATTTCATTATTTTAGGTAACTGCAAATCCTAATCTAAAAAGTAACATTTTTTAATAATTTTTGGACTTCGTAGACCAGAAATCGTAAAAATTACTATATGACATTAACTTACTAACTTAAAAATTTAAATTGTTTATAGTGCTAATCTTTGCACTTAAGATTGAACATTAAAATATGTAGAAAAAGTGTCGCCGTTGTGGGAATCGAACCCACGTCTTCGGCATTCGTTATCAGGTTTTTAAATGTATGGGAAGTGGGCCTGGGCATTGTTCTTTAGATTAATTAAAGATTTTTTTAAACTAATAAATAATTAACATTTTATTGAAATTTCTCATTTATTTAAATAATGTGAATTTGGTATAAAAATTACTGTTACTTATTATTGAATCAGACTGAACTACATACTTTATTTTTTTAAAACTGAAAATTTGACCGATATTTATATTTTTCTAAATATCGATATTTTTTTCGACTTTCGGCATCCATACTGTACTTTATTTTTTACTGTAAGTGTACTTTCATTTCATTTCATGTCATCATAAAACCTTTACATAGTAGGATTTGTGATATGGAATTCCCTCCTTGGGAGTATATGTATTCTGTGGAATAGACCAGCACTTCCTCAATCTTCTGTCACATACACACATCACTCAAAGTGAAATTGACATAAATAAGAATAAAGTAAGCAAAAGTAAGGAATGAACGGAGTCTATATAACCTACCTATTTATAATAAAACTAAAATATAATGTTTTCGTGAATTTAAAACAAGGTTAGTTAGTCAGTTTAATAAAAGAATAGAAATCTTATAAATATGGATTCAAAATATGCTTGTGTTGGTATAGAAAACCAAAAAAATTCAAATAACATGAGAGTAAAACGAATAAAGTTATGTGCTGAAAATTCCCACAAAAGAAATGGATTCCGCGTTACAGTTCAAAATAATCCGGAAAAAACCGACATTAAACAGACTTTTGCTGAAGACTTACAAGACACTAGGAAATTATTACCAGTATATGCTGTGAGAATAAGGTATGCTAAGATTTATTTCAAATTTAATTCTAATTTTTTCTGTTGTACTTCCACTATTTATTAGAATCAATGTAACTGACGATTAAGTAATAGTTAATATATTAATGTTTGTAACTTTACCTAATGTAATAAATGTCATATGTAGGGCCATGCACCAGTCTTCGCTGTTGCATGAATGAGCAGATCCATCCGGGAACGTCCACAACTATTGCGTTTCGACTTATGAGGTAACCGGGGCCCACTTTATTAAAAGGTGAGAAGCCTGTAGTTGATGCAAATGTCCAAGAGTAATGGGGGTTGGATTTTGAATCAAGTCGCCAGAATTTAAGTTCACTGTAAGTTTGGGGGTTAAGGAGGTTCATACCAATGCATTTTTTTCTGTCTGAGATGCATAAACATAAAAGATTGGTGTGTAGTTGAAGTTTTATACTTCTGCAATTTTTCTGGTGAGTAAGGTGCCCATGCCTTAACCTCCCCATGGTATCCATGTGAGACTTATATAACATTAAGGAATTTCACTTCAACCTTAATGCAGTCAATTACTATCTAGAAACAGCAAAGCCGGCCTTGCTGTTCCTAACCGAGAATCAGATATCTTCACCGGCTATCATATCCTATCTTTCTTATCCGGGATATAAGCTGTAGAACTTCTTTGTAATTTATGATTATGTTGTTTGTCAGTCTTATGTTGTTGGTCTAACCTGGAAGGTATGGACCTATCCATCTTATGGCTGTGTGTAGATAGCAATGACAATGTTTCTCGAGGCATCTAAATGTCTCATAGGGGTGATACTGAAAAGAAATTGACTGATTGAACACATCCAGATGGCTACAGATTCCATGCTGCAATAGCTCCCATCTGCAGAGATCCTCTATGATTTCATATTCATGCAAATCAAGAAATATCACATCATATTCACACATAAACTAAAAAAAATGTAGCAATTAACTTAGCCTTAAAAGTTATTTTATGTTATCGCACCTTTAAAGGCAAACTGTTACTAAATGGATTTTTTTTTAAACACAGGGGCGTAAAAAAAAAAATAAACTGCTTTTAGAAATATAATTTAAGGTCACTTTGAGAACATACTGATGGATATTTATTTATAGTATAACATTTTTTTTAGAATTTAGAAAAGTTATTTTTTATTAATAAAACTTAAGATAATGATGACTTTTAATTTTTATAAGAATACCATTAAATTTTATTTATTTGTGATTAATTACTGTAAAATCCCATAGAATTAATGTAACTAAATATAATCAATATTTTTTTATTCTAATTCAAAAAGTAAGATCCATACTTTTTACTTACTTTACTATTATTTTTATTTATGCTCCTGTGTAAAATAAATTTTTGTTTAGTAATGGTTTGTCTTTAAAGGTGCATTATGTTTGATATTTTGGCGGTCCCCAAAAACTTACTGAGCTTTTCTCTCTTACTAATAACATTCCCAACAACTCTACAATGGAACTGTCACAGCATTAATCATAAAAAAAATGAACTCATCCATCTTATAAATAAGTTTAAGCTTCTCATTCTGGCTGTTCAGGAGATATGGCTAAGACCTGATTCCCATTTTAGGGTTTCGGGTTATACATGTCTCCGGGATGACGGAAGAGATGGACATGCTGGTACTTCTATATTAGTTTCTAGAGAAATCCCATTTTCTTCCATACCCTTACCTCCCCATAGTGATTGCATTAACGCTGTTGCAATCAAGGCTCTCAATATTTCGTTTTTATCCATTTATATCCCTAACCCTAATGTTTCTGTTTTGTCTGAGCTTGTTAATTTTATAACTTTATTATCACCACCTATAGTCATCCTGGGAAATTTTAACATTCACCATTCGTCGTGGGGCTGCCATTTCTGTGATTCTTTGTCATCTCTATTTTAGAAATCATAGATGACTTTAATCTTTGCATCCTTAATGACGGTTCACCAACTCGCCGTGTCCTCCCATCCCAAAATATAAAGAGTGCTGTGGATTTATCTCTCTGCTCTCCTGATCTCGTTTCCTCTCTGTCATGGACTGTACTACCCTTTTCTCATGGTAGTGATCACTTCCCTATCATAATCTCTTCCTCTGTACCTACAAGAGTTCAAAATCAATTTAATCCCAGATTAAAATATAACATATCTAAGGCAAATTGGCCGGAATATGCTTCTGTACTGGAACAAAAGATATCAAATTTCCCTCAACTACATATGGAGAATTCTAGTCTACAATAAATTTTGAAATGCTATTCTATCTTCTGTTGACCTGACTATTCCTATTAAAAAACCTAGAAGAAAAATCTTCCATCCCCCTTGATGGGACCAGTACTGTTCTGCAGCATGCAAAAAAATAAAGGAAGCTGAACAACAATATTCATCCTCAATGACAAGCGAAAACTATATTTCATATAAGAAAACAGCTGCTCAAACTGTAAAACTATTATCTGAAAAGAAGCGGTCAGGATGGTAAAGATTTTGTTCTTCAGTATCACTTTGCACACCTCTCTCTCTTGTATGGAAATTCATTTTGGGCTGAAGAATTTTCCCATAAACTTGCTCCTCTATCAGCTCCTTCATATGAAGAGTGTATCACATATCATTCCTCTTTCATTCAATTCCCTGATAAATTTGACTTTCCCTTTTGTTACCAGGAATTAACTACTGTACTCCAGGGCCTTAAAGACTCTTCTCCGGGGATTGATGGTATCCCCTACTCCTTTATTGTTAACTGTAGTGAAAATCTTCTTCATGGTCATCATTACTGAAGGTCGTGTCCGCCCTGAAAATTTTTAAGTGAATCGGCGACGAGCTGCTTCCACACCACTCTATCTTCGGCTTTCTTCAAGGCAGTTGAAACAGGAAGCCCGGTTATAAGCTTCACTTGATCAGACCACCCAGGTGGTCTTTTGCCATCCACTTTCCCAATTACAACTACTTTTTCAAAATTATCCGGCTGCCTGCGGGCGATGTGACCAAAATAAATTAGAATTCGTTGATAGCAAATTGTGGAGCGCCTAGTCTTAATGTTTAGTTGGTTTTAATGTTTGGTTTTGTTGGAGATATTTCTGTCTCGCCAGATCCTTGACATTTTGCCCATGACCGCTTTTCCCATCTGCGTACGTCTCCGAATTTCCCTCTCGCAGCCCCCCTGATCACTGATCATTGAGCCCAGGTACACAAAATCGTCCACACACTCCAGATCTGCAAGTTCTCCCGTGCGTGGGCTTTGTCCAGCTCGGTAGATGATCATAACTTTGGTCTTGAAAATACTAAAACCCTTTTCCTTAATATTTTAAATAACATATTTATTTCTGGTGTCCCACCTAAAGAATGGAAAGAGCAAATCATTTTACCCATTCTTAAACCAGGAAAGTCTGGTCATGATCCATCAGCATATAGACCTATTGCTCTGTCATGTACCATGGCAAAGATCCTGGAACACCTGATTAAAAATCGCTTAGAATGGTTTCTAAAAAGCAAAGATCCTACCAAGAAGTCAATTTGGATTCAGAAAAGGCTTAAGTACTATGGACAGCCTCAGTATATTAGTTACAGACATCAGAATAGCTCTATCTAAACATAACTATCTTGTAGGTATATTCCTTGATATTTCATCTGCATATGATAATGTACTTCTTCCCGTGTACAGACAGAAAATGCTAAAGCTGAGTATTCCTGTGAGGATTGTAAACTTTGTTTGTAATTTTCTCTCTTCTAGATTAATCCATATAAGTATTAAAAATTCTATGTTGTCGCCTAGACATATTTGGAAAGGTCTTCCTCAAGGATCAGTCCTTAGCCCTCTTCTATATACTATTTACACCTATGATTTAGAACTGTCTGTTAATTCATTTTGTAATGTCCTCCAATATGCAGATGAACTAGCCATGTAGATAACCTTTCTAAAGCCTGTACCCTTCTAAATTCTTCCATGCTATATCTTAAAGAGTGGTTAACTGACCATGGTCTATGTTTGTCTGCCTTAAAGAGCAGTATAGAAATCTTTTGCCGCCATAAGAGAGTACCTGATATCTTAATCACTTATGATGGTCACCCCATCCCCAATAGAGACAAGGTGAAATATTTAGGCATAGTTTTGTATATAAAGTTATCCTTTACTCATCATATAGATTACATTTCTAAAAAATGTGAGAAAAATATTAATATCATTCGATCCCTTTCTGGTGTATGGTGGGGTTCCCATCCATATTCCCAGAGATTATTATATAATGCTCTTATCCGTAGCCATATAGATTACGGTTCTTTCCTCATGCAATAAATCATCCCTCAAAATTTTAGATAAGATTCAGTACAAATGCCTCCATATCATCACATGAGCAATGAAAACTTCTTCAATTAATGCCCTTCAAATGGAGTGTGTTGAACCACCACTCTACTTAAGGAGACAGTACTTTTCTGATAGATTCCTCTTTAAACTATATCAGATTTCATGCCATCCACTTATCCACAAATTACACATTCTATCGGAATTTGTGTCTACAAGTGATTACTGGGTCCACAAAGATTTGCCATGTTTGTTTAAGAGTTTTGTTTCAGTTCTTCGAATTCCTGGTGATATTTTTTCTTGCAAAGTCAACCCCTTATTTGATATTCCTTATGAAGCTGTTATTCATCAACCTGATGTCCACTTGGACCTCAACATTGAAAAAAATGATCCTATGGCCAATTTAAAATTGAAAACTTCAGACAAATGGCTGTTAAACACCTTTGTCAGGCGTGCAAAAAACACGTAACGAACTGACTGTTTCATGCTAGCCTCATCCACACACATGTTTTGTGACATTCCCAGGTATCGGTATGTTTCAGCCTCAGAGAGGGTCCTTATGTTAACGGGCATAGATAAATCTATGCCCTTCGTGTTAGCGACCTTATTTACCCCTTTCGACATGGAGGACCGCACACTTATCCGTCCCGAGCTCCATTTTGATAGAATTGCTGAAATCGTTATGTATCAAAATATTTTATGATACCGGGCTCGACGACTACGACGTGAGGCTGTTCCAAAATGTAGTGGCTGGGGATGCGGCCCCGCAAGTTGCGGACCCTGCAGGGTTACAAGCAGATGCGGAGGCCGCGTTTAACCCCCCTATAGATTCGTGCGATGATGGAATAGTCGCCCAAGAAATAGAGCAGATGGGAAGCATATTGGAGAAGGCAATTCTGGAGGTGCGCGAAACGCCTCTCGATAATCGACCATATCCCGCATACCTCTAAGTAAGCGGAGTCGGTCTGTCGTGAGGTCTCTTAACCCGATGCTGGCAACCTATTTGGAAGCTAGCCGGGATCTTTGCGATACGGGCTCAATTCTCTTTGGCGCTGCACTGGCAGTATGCCGAATCGTTGGTGCCAAACTTCCTAAGACTGGACATGCTACCAGACCAGGTAGCACATTCCCGCATAGAGAAGAAGAATTGAGGACCGTATCGCAAGGGTAAGGGCCATCATCGGCAGGCTGATAAGCTTCAGGTTTTTTTTATGCGAAACGTTGTCAAACGAGCAGATGGTTCACCTGATGTTAAGTGAATACCGCCGCCCATGGACATCTACTACACCCGAGGGTTACAGATGCGTTGACAACCTTTTGACAATTTGACGAAAATTGTCATACTTCCACTTTACGCTGGTCTTCTGTGGGCTACCCGGACGGGCTCACGAAACAGCGAAAGTGCTGCGTGTCATACTTAAAAAGCTTCACTTTACGCTAGGATCGTTTTGTTTCAACCTGTGAGGTCGCAAAAACTAACGGAGCGTACTGTACCCGGACAAACGGGCTGTCCATTCGTGCAACAGCCGAAGCTGCTGCGTGGCCCTACCACCGTAAAAAGCTTCAGGTCATGCTGTGCTCGCCCGACAGTTCCAAGAAGCTCTCGATCAGAGGTCGCTCCCGAGCCTTTTTATTACTGGGGTAACTCATTTGTTCCTAAAGATCAGGTTACCACAGACCCGAGTAAGTAACGCCCCATCACGTGTCTACCTACCATCTATAAGACACTGACATCTATTCTGAGCATGAGAATCACCCGGCATATTAATATGAATCGGATTATGTCTCATGCTCAGAGCGGATGTCGGGGCGGCGGTCGAGGAACCAAGGAACCGCTTCTCATCGACGCGATAATTGGCAAAATGGTTAAACGCAGCCGTCGGAACTTCTCCGCCGCCTGGATAGACAACAAAAAGGCATTCGACTCGGTGCCCCATTCATGGCTAAAGAGAGTCCTCGAACTGTACAAAGTAGACCGTACAGTAAGAGACTTCCTCGGGCACTGTATGGGGCAATCGAGTACGACCCTTTGTCATCTAGGCGAGCGGATGACGGCTGCGGAAGATCGGATAAGGATACGAAGGGTATTTTCCAGGGGGACTGTTTGAGCCCAATATGGTTTTGCTCTCCCTGAACCCTCTCAGCGTGTTACTGGAGGGCTCAGGAGGAGGATTTCAGCTTCGGAGAGGAGGACCGATACCTGGGTATGTCACAAAACATGTGTGTGGATGAGGCTGGCATGAGACAGTCAGTTCGTGACGTGTTTTTTGCACGCCTGACAAAGGTGTTTAACAGCCATTTGTCAGGCGTGAACAAGGCGCGTGCATTTGACGGCTGGGTCATGCCAGTCCTTATGTATACCTTTGGCATACTCAGGTGGACTCAAACAGAACTCAACGCCCTGGACCGAAAAGTCCGCACAACTATGACGTCCCACAGAATGCATCATCCGAGATCGTCAGTGATGAGGCTGTACATGCCGCGGAAGCATGGCGAGAGGGGCTTTTTGAGCGCCCTCACCATGCACAATCGCGAGATGTGCAGCCTCCGTAACTACTTTCTGGCGAGATCGGATGAGTCAATCTACACGGACGTCATTAGTCATTAGTTGTGATAAAGGACTTACCCCTCTATCCTTAGCCAAAGAGTAATGGCAGGACCCGGGAGTACTGAGCGTTTCCGACCGAGAGACCGTATGGAGGGAGAAAGAGCTCCACGGGAGGTTCTACAAGGCTCTACACGAGCCTTTCGTAGATACTGTTGCCTCCCTTAACTGGCTACGTTTCGGTGAACTCTTTGGGGAAACCGAAGGTTTTGTCTGTGCGATACAGGATCAGGTTAAGACGAACAACTATAGGAGATACATCCTAAAAGATGGCACCGTTGACATCTGTCGAGCTTGTCGCCATCCCGGGGAGTCGCTTCGGCATGTTATCTCCGGTTGTTTCATGCTTTCTAACTCAGAATATCTGCATAGACACAACCTAGTAGCCAGAATCCTACAACAAGAGCTCGCTCTGAAATGACGGCCTCGTGGATCGAAAACTGCCGTACTACAAGTACTATCCGGAAGCCGTGCTCGAAAATGACCGCGCCAGGCTCTATTGGGACCGGCCCATCATCACGGACAGGATGATTGTCGCGAACAAACCTGATATCGTGTTGATGGACCGGGCACAGGCGCGGGTATTTTTGGTCGACATTACCATTCCATATGACGAGCACCTCGTGAAACCCGAAACAGATAAGAAGACGAAGTATCTGGACCTGGCTCACGAGGTGACCGACATGTGGGGTGGTGTGCCGACCGAAATTATCCCAATAGTCGTATCTGCGAATGGGTTGATCCCAGTCGCTCGCTCGGATGGATCGCTCCAAGCTCAAATGCAGAAGGCGGTGCTCCTCGATACCGCCCGCATTGTCCGCCGGTTTCTCTCCCTTTCGCCCTAACCCTCGGCCGTTTGGTCTCTCCTGCCGAGGGCTTCCGTCTGGTTGGGTCCTATTTATATATGTATTATATAAAATATTTATATTTATATGTTTATTTTTATCCATAACATTTATTTTATATATGCAATATATATCTATATTTTTATTTTTATTAATAAACCCAACCAGACGAGAAAACAAATGAATATCTCCCCAATAATAATTATTCCATAATATTCCGATAATATCCCGGACGTCAGTCTGAGCGAGATTAGAATGGCTCTTGACCATCTTAAGAATGGCAAAGCATCAGGAGAGGACGGAATTACAGCAGAGCTTCTGAAAGCGGGTGGAGAACCGGTACTTGTAGTCCTTCAGAGGCTCTTTAATTCCGTCCTTCAGGGTGGTGCTACACCAGAGGCGTGGAGCAGAAGTGTGGTGGTGCTGTTCTTCAAGAAAGGCGATAACGCTCTCTTGAAGAACTATAGACCGATATCCCTTCCGAGCCGCGTCTATGTGCTATTCTCAAGAGTCATCTTGAATCGTCTCGCTTCCAGACTCGACGACTTCCAGCCTCCCGAACAAGCCGGATTCCGAAAAGGCTTCAGTACCATAGACCACATACACACCTTGCGGCAGATTATACAGAAGACCGAAGAGTATAATCTGCCTTTGTGCCTAGCGTATGTGGACTATGAGAAAGCCTTCGATTCTGTCGAAATTTGGGCGGTACTCCAGGCTCTTCAGCGGTGCCAAATTGACTGTCGGTATATCGAGGTGCTGAGGTGTTTGTATAACAAGGCTACGATGTCCGTCCAAGTACAGTCCAGTAGTACAAAACCTATCCAACTGCAGAAGGGTGTAAGACAGGGTGATGTCATATCCCCGAAACTCTTCACCGCTGCGTTGGAAGATGTTTTCAAGCTTCTGGACTGGAAAGGACGAGGTATTAACATCAATGGCGAATACATCACCCACCTCCGATTTGCCGACGATTTAGTCATCATGGCAGAATCGCTGGAGGACCTTAGTACTATGCTCAATGACCTCAACAGTGTCTCCCAACGGGTGGGCCTTAAGATGAACATGGACAAGACGAAGATCATGTCTAATGTCCATGTCACGCCTATACCGGTTGTTGTTGGGAGCACTGAGCTCGAAGTTGTTGACGAGTACATTTACCTAGGACAGTTAGTCCGGCTAGGTAAGTCCAACTTCGACGCAGAGGTCAATCGGCGAATCCAACTCGGATGGGCAGCGTTCGGGAAACTACGGCAAATCTTGTCGTCAAATATACCTCAATGTTTGAAGACTAAAGTCTTCAATCAACCGTTGGGGAAGAAAGGTTCTCGAGTGGCAGCCTCGTACTGGCCATCGCAGTGTGGGACGACCCCCCACTAGATGGAGTGACGACCTGTGCAAATGTGCGGGAAGTCGATGGATGCAGGTGGCTCAGGATCGTACTTCGTGGCAGTCTATGGGGGAGGCCTATGTTCAGCAGTGGACTCAAACAGGCTGAAATGATGATGATGAATAATTATTATTAAGTAATATTTTTTATAATTATGTTATTGAAGCTCTGCTTCTTTCTGTGTATAGGTAGGCTATTCATGCAAGAGCTATTTAGTAGGCTGCTGTTGCTCTATCAGAGTACACTTTTATTTGTGAATTATAATAGAGCTGTCATATTTGAACATAAAATATTCAAAAGAAAAATAGAAACAACTCTTTGATTATCATTTTTATTAATAACTATTTTTGTTGAATTATAATTCAAGTGATGTTTCAGATAACTGCCTACTGTGGGGGGTCTAGATTTATATTTTCTATTAACAATGTTATTGCAGGTTAATGGAGGAAGTAAAAAAAAATCAGACCATGATACTGATTGGTGAAACAGGTAGTGGAAAAACTACACAAGTTCCACAGTTGATTCATGAACAGCGTATTGAGGGATTTGGGGCAATTGCAATAACACAACCACGGAGAGTTGCTGCTATAACCTTAGCTTTGCGTGTTGCAGCAGAAATGAAAACGGACATAGGTTCAATCGTGGGGTATTTATTTCTATTCATATTCCTTAACAGTGTTGCTTAAAGAAAAGTTTAATAATATACATTCTTACAGATATTGTGTCAGATTTGAAGATGTTACCAGTAACCAAACTAAAGTAAAATATTTGACTGATGGTATGTTGTTAAGAGAGGCTGTGGCTGATCCATTTTTGAAACGATATTCAATTATAATATTGGATGAAGCTCATGAGCGTACAGTAAACACTGATGTTTTATTTGGAATAGTCAAGTTAGCTCAAAAAGAAAGAAGTGACAAGAAACTACTTCCTTTGAAGGTACATCATTTTTAATTTTTATTGATGGTAGCATATATGCTCATTAAGGCATTATTTTAATTATAGATAATAATAATGTCAGCAACAATGGATGTAGATTCATTTCGAAAATACTATGATGATTGCCCGGTTATTTACTTGGAAGGCAGAACCCACCCAGTTACTATATATCACACCAAAATAAAACAAGATGATTATCAGTATGCCGTAGTTTGTACTATATTTCAACTGCATGTGTCAACACCAGCAAAGTAAGAATATTTTAATAATTTGTCATGTTCTGCAATATTATCTCTCAGTACAGTAGAATCCGTTTATTATGACATCGAAAGGAATTGACAAACACGTCATAATAAACGGACGTCATACAAAGCGTTTTGTGAAAAAAAAAAATTATTTAAATATGTATTAATTAAATAAGTATTTTAATAGAGAAATATTCACATATTTTAATGTTCAATCTTAAGTGCAAAGATTAGCACTATAAACAATTTAAATTTCTAAAAAAGCAATGGCGACATCCTCGTTCGAATTATCGGTGTAAAACGATATTCGAAATTGTTTGTATGCTGGAAAGGATATAACAATAGATGGTGCTAAGCATTGCTTCAAATGCTAAGAAAACAATGTAGAAGAATGCGTTAAGATTTTCGTCGGTGTGTCAATCAGCCGTTTAGCTCAGTGGCTAGAGCGTCAGGCCGCGAATGCCGAAGACATGGGTTCGATTCCCACAGCGGCGACAATCTTTTCGTACTTTTTCTACATATTTTAATGTTCAATCTTAAGTGCAAAGATTAGCACTATAAACAATTTAAATTTCGAACATAATTTATTAAAAATGCCTTATAATAAGCGACATGTCACTGTAAGTGAAGTCATTATATCCGGATTTTTTTTAAAGAATTTTATATGATAAAACAAACTTCGTAGTGTAATAACGTCATAATAATCGGTTGCTCAATATAGGCGGAGTCATAATAAACGGATTCTACTGTAAATGACAGAAAATGTTTTTTTTCTTAATTCAATAATAAATATATAATAATAATTTTTAAAATCTATGTTAATTTTATTTTGTAGCCATGACTTTCTTGTATTTTTAACCGGTCAGGAAGAAATTGAAACTGTGATGAGTAACATTAAACAAGTTGCAAAAGTAAGTATTTTTTTTTGTTTTGCAAAACTAATAGATGCGTAATGCACACCTACATATTAATAATTAAGTTTTTATATACATGTAACTGTCCATTAACCGTCCATTAATCACGTGAGGCTTTTTTAGCATTTTTTAACCCCCTCTTCCCCTTTGGCCCATCTTTCCCCACCACGCATCACGTGGTGGGGTTTAAGATTACCCGTCAACCCCCACCTAAAATCACGTGTATTTTTTAGTATCTACAAAGTATCTTAAAATTTTTATAATATTTTCTTTAAATACAGGTTTAGAATATAATCTATTCTGAAATTAAGGACTATGATAAAAATGTAACGGCGAGGCAAGGTCAGACTACACACGTGCTTTTCGATTTAGAAATCGCGCGTTTATTGAAAAAACTAAATACAAGTGATATCTTACTACACTCTCCCTCCTCCCTTGTAATTAATGGAATTCGAGCCTCACGTAATTAGTGGAAGCCGCCTAAAGGATTTTTAGGGCTATGAACTAAATTAGACATTTAAATAATATTTAATAGATCATCATTGAGATGTATTACTATGTTTTGTTGAATGAAATCAATACATTAAATTTCCAGGATGCTTTGGGGCCACCCATAATGGTTTGTCCTTTATATGCTGGTCTCCCAGCTGTAAAACAATTGCAAGTATGGAAGAAAACACCCCCTGGATTTAGAAAAATAGTATTGGCAACTAATATAGCTGAAGCATCTGTAACAATTCCTCAAATCAAATGTGTGATTGACTCTGGTGTTGTCAAAGAAAGGTATAAATCTGATTTATCTTTCTTTTGATACATCACCCTTGTGTCAAGCAAAATCGTCAAGCGAGTAAGCGGTCCATCTGGTGTTAACTGAATACTGCCGCCAAAGGACATCTACAATATCCCATGGCATGCAGTAGCAGAATGACACACTTTAGCGGTGATACCGTATTTTTAGTTTGTACGAAAATTAAAGCTATTTAATTTTGTGATCAAAAGAAAAATATGCATGGTGGAATAACATGGAGTTTTTCAATCAGTGAATGCCATAAAATGGTAACCTAATTACATATATTCATTATGCCCATATCTAATATATAAAATTCTCGTGTCACGGTGTTTGTAATTGAACACCGCTGAAACGGCTCGACCGATTTTCGTGAAATTTTGTGTGCATATTCGCCAGGGTGGAGAATCGGACATCTATTTTTCATCCCCCTAAATGTTAAGGTTGGTCCACCCCAAACATTTTTTTCTACCCTACATATAGTTTATATGGCAAAACAACGTTTGCCGGGTCAGCTAGTAATATTATGTGGAAAGTGGAAAGAAAGTTGGAAATTTATTACATTAAACGTGCCGCAATGAAGCTCTGATTACGTAAGCCACAAGACGTAAAGTGAAAATCTGTTTTTATGATTATAGACAGTTATTCTCAGCCATTTTTTTTGCCGCGCGATAACGATTTCAAAATTTGGCGGCACGTAAAAGAAAAATAAATTTAAATGTTGATAGTAGTAATAAGTGTTGTTTACTTACGTATAATGCACCGTATATAATTATAGTTTATGATGATAATTTTGAATAGTACCTGGACGACCTTTTGGAAATAAAAAAAGTAAAAACTAAAGAAAATGATCTGGTATAGAAAAAAAAGTAAAAACAAATAAGTGTGATCGTGATACGAACCGCGGCCGTTTGTTTTGGGGCCGCCCGCATTTTTTTTGCGGCGAAATTTATTGTCCTATTCGAATGATATTTTATATGTAAGATAAAATAAAATAATATGTAACAAAAACATGCTCACTCAAACACGCTACTCTTACATCGTCTCATGCATTTATTAGTCTGGATCGTTCTTTCGCCTTTATGTTAGTTAGTATTGAAAAGCAGAAAATTGTAATAATATATTTAAAGCCTTTTTTGACTAGAGTGGGAAAATCGCATTCAATGTCAATTCAAATGAATTAATTTATTTTGCCGAATGATTTCAATCTCGATTATTTCAATTCTCTAAATTCAAATTTATATTAAAACCTGACATTACAAATGGATAACGCACCCAATATTTTTTTTATATATCTTTATTTGGGAGATAATTAATAATTCTAAACCTGTATTGTTGTCAAATATGCCGGTATTCGGTAATGTTCGCTACCGGTTCGGATGTCGATGTGTGTGACATCCGATGTCAGACATCGCAAACCGACACCCGGCATCACCGTCGTCGTTAGAGAAACGGCCAAATCTGTAGTGGCGGCGCGCTCCCGCAGGACGTGGTGCACTCGCACGGGGGCCGAGCGGCTGCGCGTGCGGCCGTGTTCGCAGGCCGCGTCGTGGCAGCGCGCGGGCCGCGCCGGCCGCACCGCGCGCGGCGCCGCCTACCGCCTCTACACCGCGCAGGACTTCGCCTCGCGGCCCGCGCACAACACGCCCGAGATCGTAAGGTCCGATTTGGACTCGCCCGCGGTGCGTGACAGGTCGACACGTGCGACGAGACGGACTTTGCTATCGACGACAAAAAAGGGGGTCCTCAATTCGGTTGTAATTGTTTTTTACGGTTCCGCACCCAAAGGGTGCAGCGGGACCATGTTACTGAGACTCCGCTGTCTGTCTGTCCGTCTGTCAGCAGGCTGTGTCTTATGAATTGTGATGGTTAGACAGTGGAAATTTTCGCAGATGATGTATTTATGTTGCCGCTATAATAACAAATACTGAAAAGCAGAATAAAAATATATTTAAATGGGGCGCCTATACAACAGACATGTTTTTTGCCGTTTTTATAGATAATGGTACCCTGGAGACCGTTCGTGCGATAGTCCGACTCGCAATTGACTGGTTATTTTGTGTTTATTACCTCAGAATTCGGTCATTAATGAACCGATTATGATTTCATAGACATTGGAGTTTATGCTGGGGATTTACATCAAAGAAACTGTAGTGTTTGTGAGATACCATAAGCCAGTTTCGTTTTTTGTTAATAAAATAAATGTATTTTTTGTTTATTGTTGGATGCTTGGGGTCGGGATATTAAGTGGTATGACATTGCTGTATTATAATGTGATATTTACAGTCCAACCTATTTTATTATATTAACATATCATATTAACAGACAATTTAATAAATTTATTATTCTTCCAATTTATTTTGTATATATACAATGTAACGTCTACAATAATATTATATTATATTTGTAAGTAACCAATTACTGCTTGGTTTTCAGGTGTCCATTAGCAGCAACAATGTTACTTTTAATTGCTACAGGATTAGATCCTATCAACTTTCCATTAATGGACCCACCACCTGATGATTCCGTACAAGCATCTCTGTTATTGTTGAAAGAGTTAGGTAAGAAAATTAATTACAGAGAGCTGTTATTTTCCATTTTATACCCATTTTTCTTAATTTTATGTTTCTTTACAGGAGCTGTTGATAATGAAACAGATCCAAAACTGACGATTCTTGGGAAGAAGATGACAGCATTCCCAATTGACCCAAAATATTCTAAGATTTTATTATGTGCTCCGGATTATGATTGTCTGGACGAGGTAAAATTCTCAAGGTCTTTTTTGTAATTAAGGGGGATATTTATCGATAGTTTTCTTGATGAGTAGTTATTACCGCAGGAAATTTACATTAACAACACCAATGTGGTTGATGTGATGTTTCCAGTGTTTGAAAGTCTTCTACTTTTTAGTGAGATTTGTTAGGTTGTAGATCATCTTAGGTGAGCTAGCCCGTACATGCAACATCATAAGCTCTATTACTATATATTGATTGTATATAATAATAAGTATCTTATACTCGAAAGACGCTGTAACGCAACTTATAATAATTAAAACATTGCATGTTTAATCATCGTTAATTATAAATTTTTTTGGAAAATTTTCAGGCACTAAGTTTAGTTGCAGTATTGTCGAGTGAAAATGTATTTCATATGCCTATCCATAAGAGAGAAGAAGCCTTGAAAGTTAAACAAAAATTCATATCGCCCTTAGGGGATCATATTACACTCTTGAATGTTTATAAAGCATTTAGCAAAGCTGCATTGAAAAAGGTATATCATGTATATTTATTAATATATTTTTTTCATTATTATTTTTCACACAATGAAAATATAGTTTGCAAACATAGATTACCTTAAAAGTGATATTCCAATAGGTGATTGAAATTCACTTACTATCATGACCAGAGTGGAACTTTCCCGTAATGTAAAATACCAAAATGGCTCATTCTATTTTTGTGAACTGGGTAGTGTTTCATAATTACCATGGTTTTTCGATATTTTAATTAATCTCAATAAAAGTTGGGAAAATTCTATGTGGAAAGTTTGATTTAATGCATTCATTTTCTCGTCCAGGGTCTAACAGTCTCACAGAAGACCGGCGTGTAGGATTATTAGTCTATTGCGTTTTGTTTGATGAGTGAGGTAACCGCGGCCCACTAGCTAACATACTAATGTTGGCAACACATCTGCAACCCGTTGGGTGTTGTATAATATATAGTCCAAATCATTTAATGACATACAAGTTACACAGTTTATACATTTGACATATAATTTTATGGTAACGAAAGTTAATTATAATAGTGAAATAATATACAATATAATAAGAAGACAAAAATAACTGGAATCAATATATCATATAAAAAAAGGATAACAAGATCATTGTTTCTTGCCGGTATCTTCTCTGGACAGGTCTAATTTAGTGAACTGGGAGTAGTTTTTTGTGTCAGCCTTGTTTTAAAACAAGCCTATATTGAATTAAAATGTTTTGACTTTGAATAAGACAATACTAAATATGCTTTGCAGTATTATTCAATATTTACATTTTATTAGTTGCTTAATATTTATTATTTCTCATTTTACAGCAATGGTGTAAAGAGAATTACCTTAACCACAAAAATCTATCATACGCGCAAGATATAAGGGAACAGCTGCTAACAATTTGCCAGAGATTGAATTTGACAGTCACCAGTTGTGGATCAGCATTAGACCAGGTAATAGAAGAAAAAAAACATTGCAGCATGTCGAGGAACATATATGTATAATGAACTGAGTATATAGTTGTTCACAAAATCTATAGTAAAATGAAGTAAATTTTTTAATTTAGGAACAGTGTTTTCACATTTTTGTCACAGTTATTATTTACATACTAGAAAGCTTTTAAACAAAAATTCGAGGCAAAAGTAGCATACAATTTAAATTACTGCGCTTTTGTAGTCAATATCCAAATATATTCGAAGCGTCTTTGGGGTGCGAAATGAAGGGTGTTACGCACAGATGCTTTATGAAACTAAACTAATAGAATTCGAGTCTGTGTTTTGGGGGTAAGCGGCCCAGATGCTTTAATCAACTTAAAAAATTGAACGAAAAGCTCTTCGGCTCTTCTTTAAAACTCTTCAACTTTATTATATTACGATACTAGCTACCCGCCCCGGCTTCACATGGCTGCAATGTATTATACATATAAACCTTCCTCTTGAATCAATCTATCTAGTAAAAAAACCGCAACAAGATCTGTCGCGTAGTTTTAAAGACCTTAGCATACATAGAGATACAGACAGCAGGACAACTTTGTCTTATACTATGTAGTGAGAGAGCAAGTCTCTCATTGATAGGCGAAGGTTTGATTTGGACAAATAGATGATATATATGTAGTCTATAACACAGTGTTAAACGATCACTATTTCAGCTGCTGAAGTGTTTGCTGAGCGGTCTGTTCACGAATTGCGCGTGGGCTCGCAGCGGTGCGGGCGCGCCCGGCCAGGCGGGTGGGGGGAAATACGTCACCGCGTCGGGCGCAGCGGCCTCCATACACCCGGCGAGCGCGCTCTTCCCCGTCCGCCCACCGCACCCGGCGCTACTCTACACAGAGCTGCTGCACACACGCCGCTCCTACCTGGTCACCGTATCCGCGATACAGCCGCATTGGCTGCACCAAGTGGCGCCCGACTACGCGAGGCGTTGCCGCGCCAACCGGTGACACGTTGCCAACGCGTTCCGAATGCGGCGCTAACGCTCGGCGGACGTGATTAGATTGTGCGAATCGTCCAATCCGCTAAGCGAGTGCCGGTCCAATCGGCGACACACTGTCGGCCCGATCCGTGCAGGTTGCAGTTGTGCGCACGGCGCTGCTCTACACACTGCCACCGAGTTCCAGACCGCGTCGTAAACGCTCGGCGGTCGTGTCCGATTAAATTTTGTGAATTGTTGATACCGTTAAGCGAGTGCCGTGCCTAGAATCGGGCAATATTCGCGTTTACTGTATAATTAGATTTCGTTCATATTTGCCACTTTAAGAATCATCCAACGCCATAAGTGACGAGGTTACTATTGCCAAGTTATGGATGTTAGCATTTATTTTATATTTTGAATTTTATAGTTGCCTAAATGTTACAACAATGACGATTGATGTTACTATAAGTTATAGTTCATATGTATTTAGTATAATTTTAAACCATTGTAATTTTAAACCATTTTGTTTGTATCGATCGTAGGGGCCGTCCATTAATCACGTGAGGGTTTTTTTTAGCATTATTTAACCCCCTCCTCCCCTTTGTGATACGTGGTGAGGTTTAAGACAACCCCCACCCCCCATCCAAAGTTACGTGTATTTTTAGTACCTACGAAATATCTTAAAATTTTTATCTATAAATACAGGTTTAGAGTATAATCTAATTTTATTCCGAAATTAAGGACCATCATACAAATGTAACGGAGAGTGAAGGTACACACTCCCCCCCCCCCCCCCCCCCTCTCTAGCCTCACGTGATTGTAGCCTCGAAATGGATGGCCCTGTACTTCGCTACATACAGATGTCTGTCATATTTAGTTAGGTTTTAGTTGTTATATCATTTGGGTTGAATATATATGAGATTAATTTTAAAGTTAAATAACAAACATTATTTTAAAATTGAAGTGTTTTTCTCATTTTATTAATTATTTAAATTATTAACGAACTTATAAAAAGTTAAATAAAAATTATTAATATGTAACATTATGTACATATCTGCTACTAAACTATGATATAAGAAAATTTCAACCCATCCAATTGCACTTAACAATACACAGAAAAAAAAATTAAGGACAGTACAAACTAACAAAGTAACATTTTGATTGAAATAGGTATTTTGTATTGTGTGTTTCTCTTATTAAAGATTTGTTTGTCATTTCTTCCAAGAATGTTATAATTTTATTTTATGTTCATGATCCTTTTATAAAAAAATGTGATATTTATTCTCTAAAGTTCTACGGACGATTATTTTCACTGTGCCACCTTTTCCTGTACGCTGATGTATTACGGTTAAAGACGATGAACCTTATATGTATGTACGGTTACGTGCCAAATCAGATTTTAAAACTATTGAAAAACTTGAATATAACCAAAAGATTCGTTTCTACTTCTTTCAAACGATATTATGATAATTGTGTGAAAGTGGCCGCCCTTGTACTCTTAGAAGGCGCGAATTCAAAGAAATTCCATGCGTAAGCAGAAACTGGTTTTACCGTTAAATGAAGACTATTTTTTGTTTGGTTGCCCATTTAGTATACCTTAAAACTGAATGGATACCGCGTTTTGTTGAAACGGTACGCGGGAAAAAAACACCTTCAAATTCTTTTTCGGAACAAAAAAAAAATTACCGTGGAGAGCTACAATAAAGAAAATGATAGTGTATAGGCCCCAACAGTAAGAAGCGAGCAGGCGTGTTCCGCTTGATAAGAGAGGCCATTTTCCATCGTCACTCGTGGTTTAGCCGTGAGTCTAATATTCGGACTTAACCGAGGTATATTTTTGTGGGGAAGGCGTAAAAACTAGTGCAGTTGTGTATCAAAATACAGTCCTCACAAGCCCTGGGAAACTTTTTACACATACCGTATTCAATAGCGTACACTGGGTATTGATTCCAGTAAGATTCTGCGCCAGCTAGAGTGAAAAGCACGCAAAAAGGATGTAGGTAGTTAAATTGACTTTATCCGACATGAAGACTGGCCCACCCCCAGTCCAGACTTAAATCTGTTGGATTATAAAATACGACAACACTTGGGAGGAAAACACCTGCTCAAAGCCTGATTTGGAGTCACTCCAGACATTCTTGGTCAAAGCAGCCGCCATTGTTGATATGGACCTCGTTCGTGCTGCTATCTTGAATTGAATTTGACTTGAAATCTTCTAAATCGCGGAGCGTCATTTTGAATAAGTTTTGTTAGCAATATAAGAATTTATGTCTTAGTAAATTCCTTTTGGTACCAATATAAATTGTTACTATAAAAATAAACGTGTCAGTTATTTCACAAAAACATGTTATAGAACTTATGACCCGACTAAGTATGTGGAGTACACAATGCCGTGAACAATACCGCAAATGTAAAACAAATTCAAAAGAGAACAATACCGCAAAGTTTCTTGGCGGTACTTTTTTGACGTTTAATAAGAGCTTGAAGCCTATATTAAATAAATAAATTTTGTCCTTGACTTTGAAAGTAAATAGTATAGTGACAGCCTGTATATATTCCACTGCTGGGTAAAGGCCTCTTCTGTACAGAGGGTATTACGGCATGTTTGCAAGATTTTTCATGGGCGGCGGATTAACTTACCATCGGGTGAACCGTCTGCTCGTTTGGCAACTTTTCGGATTAAAAAAATTTACGTTAAGTGACAAATTCCATTTAATAAAAAAAAAATCTATCAATGTCAAATTTTGGATTCAATTTCTCATTATCGTCGATAAAGTAAAAATACATAAAAGTCGCAACATAAAAGTAAAAAAAACCTACCTAATTACTTTAAATTAAATACATTAAAGTATTTACGTAGTTCAATTATAACATTTAACACAAGTTATTTTAATGCATGATGAATTTTAATAATATTGTTACATGTATAATATTCCATATTTTAAAAGTTATAAGTATATTTATTTTATTACTTTTATATAGAGTTTCAAATATACAAAAATTCGACATTTCATAGTAAATTTTTGTAGGTCTTTTAAACCTGATTATAGTGCAGTATATAAGAGTTCTAACGATTTTGCCTTGATCCTAATATTTTAACTATTACTGAACATGAATATTAACAACTTTTTATAACGACAAGCAGCAGTAGTGGTTATATCACCGTGCGGGAACACAGCCGAAATCCAAGTGACCGCTGCTCCATACGACCATGTGTCCCTTGGCTCGAGTAGATACCATTATATCCGGTATACAGTGTTGCCAGTGCCGACGTTCGGCCGTCCTGCATCACGCCTTCGTCCTCGAATGGCGTTGTAGTCTGGTATAAGTAACCCTCATAAAATTAACACCATACCCTGTGGCTTATCCCTCACAACTGGAATGTATATCGCCACGTTCAGAACACCTTACCCTGTGGCTTATCCCTCATAACTGGGATGCATATCGCCACGTTCAGAACACTTTACCCTGTGGCTTATCCCTCAACTGGGATGCATATCGCTATATTCAAAACACTTACCCTGTGGCTTATCGCTCACAACTGGGATGCATATCGCCACGTTCATGCCTTAAATTTTCCAACTACTAAAATGCTCAATAGCTTAACCGGGTAAACCAGTTGTGTATCGCTATTTAACATTTTCTCAAATGTATTAATAAATTAATTAACTGGAAGGTACTCACCAAAACTTTCGTTAAATTTAACTAAAAGATTTTATCACCATTACGTATAGTAAGTATAAAGCACAGTTTTATTTTACGAGGGTAGGTATACAAGGAGAAAATATGTCGCCGATTATTTGAACAGCCAAATGCGAGTTTTCTTATTGAATCCCACTTCTGATATAAGAGTTCTAACGATTTTACCTTGATCCTTATATTTTAACTATTACTGAACATGAATATTAACAATTTATATAACGACAAGCAGCAGTAGTGGTTATATCACCGTCCGGGAACGCAGCCGAAATCCAAGTGACCGCTGCTCATACGACCATGTGTCCCTTGGCTCGAGTAGATACCGTCATATCCGGTATACAGTGTTGCCAGCGCCAACAAGTATAAAAACATAATGATTAATTAAATACAATGATGATTTCGTAACAAACAAAAACATTAACATTTTAGTTGTATTTAAACGAGTTTTTAGGGAAAAAAATAAAACATGGGAACCGCTTGAAAGAGCGCTTTGAACCGGAACTCACAAGATGCCATAACTAACGAAGTGCGTGCAGACTCAGGAAGGATTTGTGGTTTCCTTCATTTCCGTTTGTGCTTTGCTTTCATTTCCGTACATCTGTTTACGAGCTGTGTTTGTTAACGGACCTCTGTTGACAAGCAGTTTGTTTTGACAAAATTCAAAAGAAGGTAAATAAGAAAAAAAGGAATTGGTAACTCATTTAAATATTAAGCATATGAAGAATTTATAAATAATATCGATAAATCCGTAAACAGTTTTATTTAATAATGTGTAATCGCGTAAATACAAGAAAAGATTACATGAAGAATTTTGATAGACTTAGTTCTTACTTTTTTAATTCGATAAGGCCTGACGTTTACATAATAAATAAGTAAGTATAGGAAAATGCTAAAAAGAATAGTTATTACGTGGATCCTACTTTAGATTGACCTCATTTTTTATTTATTACATAGAGAAAATGTATGTAGAGTATGCCGGATTTATGTATGAAAACTACAAAATTTTTGCGAAACTACAAAATTTGGTTATCAGAATAGAGGATCCAGAACCGACTGTTATTTGTAAGAACGGTTTTCTGTTCATGTCAGAATCTAGTTATTTTTGGTTCTTTATGAAAAAGTGACATGGGAAAATAATGGTTTTAACACTAAAGCCCGGTTTCTGAAACACTGATCATCGTAGAAATTAACTAATCAGCTGTCAAATGGCTTTTCAAAATTTGTTTGAGTTACCAAAAGGATAGTTAAACTTTCTGAACTGATCAGAATGATCTTCTTAATGATCAGAATTTTAATATTAAGTTTATAAGTAACTATTGGTACATA